ATTAAATCAAATGAAAACTGAATAAGTTATTAGCCTACAATCATGAAAAATACTGTCTGAATTAGAAGTTTGTAAAAGCTTGTGCTCTAGCAATATGCACATCAAAGCGAAATTTACTCTCAAAACGTGGTGCAAATTTCTTGTTCTGATATTAAAATCCAATGTCATTTTTACTAAGAATTTAGTGAAATAAAAAAACATAGCACATTTTGCATTCTTATTTACATAATTTTTTGCATCATTGTCTCACCCATTTATATCAGTTGGATCTTATTTTTGTAAAACAATGTTTTTAATGTGCACACCTTTATAAATGCCACAAAAAAATGTCTCAAATTTCATTCTGTTCTATTAAAAATGTATTTTTCCCCTACTAAAATCGTAATAAAATATGATGAGCGTGCTGGACATGTTCAAGTAAGTCGTTAATTTCATAAGTTTTGACCTACTGCATTTTTTCGCGTGACAATTCGAAATAAGACGTTAAAAGAAAAGATATAAATAGCGAATGTTATAAATGCTAAGGTGCTGCATGATATTTTCGCATCATAAACCCCTTATTAAAATGACTAAAAACCTCTTTTCAAAGTCTTGTAATTGAACTTGACATGACATAAATAATAGATGAAATGGTCAAAGAAATGTTAGAAATATCGCGGGATTAATGTGTTTCTCGAAAGTTTTCTTTTATGAAATATGTTTAAAAAGTTTATTTATAATAGTCGGAACATAATGTACATTAGATGGATAAAACAACATTAGAATTATGAGATTTAAAAACTTAAGTAATTAATAGGGAAATATTTTTTTAAGTTTTTTTTTTCCATTGAAGTAAGTTCTGTAAAATTTTTATGACGTCATTCTGAACAAGTTTCAAGCTTTAGTCGATATTAATATAGGTTTTATTGGTGCATAATTTTATGTCCAACTAATATATATATATATTGATATCATGCACAGTTTTGTAGCATACTTGTCCTTAAAATTTTAAGTACAGTTTTTTTTTTTTTTCCTAAGGAGAANCTTATTAAAATGACTAAAAACCTCTTTTCAAAGTCTTGTAATTGAACTTGACATGACATAAATAATAGATGAAATGGTCAAAGAAATGTTAGAAATATCGCGGGATTAATGTGTTTCTCGAAAGTTTTCTTTTATGAAATATGTTTAAAAAGTTTATTTATAATAGTCGGAACATAATGTACATTAGATGGATAAAACAACATTAGAATTGTGAGATTTAAAAACTTAAGTATTTAATAGGAAAATATTTTTTAGTTTTTTTTTTTTTTTTTTTTTTTNTTATTTTTTTTTTTTTTTTTTTTTTTTTTTCATTGAAATAAGTTCTGTAAAATTTTTATGACGTCAATCTGAACAAGTTTCAAACTTTAGTCGATATTAAAATAGGTTTTATTGGTGCATAATTTTATATCCAACTAATATATATATATATCGATATCATGCACAGTTTTGTAGCATGCTTGTCCTTAAAATTTTAAGTACAGTTTTTTTTTTTTCCTAAGGAGAAAGTTTCAATACCCCTATAATTTCTATTTCATTTGGTCTGTAATTTGTTAATAAATAAAATTTTATGTTTTTGCCATGAAATTTTCACTAATTTAATTTTGCGTCGTTTGACATTTTTGTTAGATTCAAATTTAGTTGGCCAAATCCATTAAAAACTTCGCCCATGTATTCTTGGATCGTACGATCCTGCTTTTGGTTGATACAAATTTATTAGACAAAAGAAGATCACACTTCTCTAAATCTGACTACTTGGAAAAGAATTTATCTCTTAGTTGGCAAAAATTAAAAACTTCATAAAAATATTCTTGGGTGGCACAAAATTGCATTCTTTAACTTCAAATTTATTTGACTAATACCAGAGCTAATTACTTCAAAGCATACTCATAAATCTGAATTCACGGCAAAGAATTTACTGCTTAATTGGTAAGAATTCAAGGATGCATTTAAGTAGTTTTGTTAAAATCTTCATAACGAGAGCGAAATCGACAGAATTTCTTTTCCTTAAGAACAATTGATGCATAAAAATATTTATATCCTTGGCTTATTGAATAATCCGGCTCTTTGCTAGCAGCCACCGTTATTTTGCAATAATTCAGTCTAATCGAAAAAGTCGCTAGTATTTTTTAATCAGCCTGATACTTTTTTAAGCTTAAAAAATACTTGACAGATTAGAAAATGCTGAAGACTTTTCCAAATGACCTGAACTATTCCAACAAGACAGCGACATTTGCAAAAAGCCGAATTTTTCAACTGGCTCACGTTATTTACAGAGAGTCAGATTTTTCAATTAGTCAATGACATTTTCAATGCGTCATATTTTTCAATTAGCTTACGTTATTTGCAGAGAGTCGAATTTTTTCATAAGCCTACAGCATTTGCAAAGAATTGGGTTTTTCAATAGGCTTACGTTATCTACAAAGAGTAGGATTCTTTAATAAGCCTACAATATTTGCAAGGAGTCTAAGTTTTCAATTAGCCTGCCTTATTTGCAAAGTGTCGGATATTTCATTTAGCTTACAACAATAAAAAAGGTTTGCATCTTTTAATTAGCCTTCGACGTTTACAAAGGCGACATTAATTAGCCTACATTTGCAAAGGGTTACATTTTACAATTAACCTACGACGCTTGCAAAGAGTCGGATTTTTCAATTAGCTTACGTTCTTTGCAAAATGTCAGATTTTTCAATTATCTTACGTTCTTTGCAAAATGTCAGATTTTTCAGTTAGCGCATGACATTTATAACCCGTGATTGGTATAGTAAAAATAGAGAAACACAATCAACCTTTCCAATTTGCAACAGATTCTTTTAATTATTTAAAAAGGAGAAAATTACGTGAAACATTCCATAAGGTGCATTTGATTGATAAACGAATAAATCAACCATTAGTTTCGTTTTACCTCTTTTAAATTAAGGGTGTAGCGGTTACAGGCAAGATTTATCGTTATTTTCCATAGGGCGTGTGATATGAATTAGTCCTTCCATTGTGCCGTAGATTTCTTTCTCATATAACAGGGAGGGGTGAGAAAATTCTTAACCCCCTGAAAACTTTTACACTAGTTCTTTGATCTTTAAATGTGCATTCGACCATTCGAATAGTACCTTGTCAACCCTTTCTGGAACAATTCCAAAATCAATTGGCCACCAGTTAATATCAGAACGTTTTTCCCTCCTTTCCAATCTTTTCCCTAACGCTTATTTTTAACGTAGGGTGAAAATTTTTGTGTTCTTCGCTTGAGTAAGCTTCTGAAAAAGAATTTTTTTTCCTTTTTTAATGTAAAGTATAAAAAAGGGTGTTTTTATTTTTGAGAAATAGCTCCGCGTTTTTACGTTTTTCGTTTTTAATTTTTCTTGGTTTGACTTTCATTTTTATTTATTTAATTTTAAAAAAAAAACTTTTTTGATCGATAACATTTGTTGCTGAGTGACTGGAAATATGTGGAGATTTTTTAACTGTTTATTTTCGCGAGTTGAAAGTTTACTGATAAATTAATTAATCCTCAAAAATGGGCGATAAATAACTAATTTATCATATGAACGAACTATTTCATTAACAAGAGAAGAAGAAAAATTCTAACATTTTTTTCATTTGCTATTTTATTTACACCTGTATATTGAAAAATAACGTATTGTAAATAAGTGGTTCTCAACCTTTAACTTAATGACCACTAACTACATTATCAAATCAACAACGGATCACTTGCACTCAAATAAATGATCTACAAGGTTTACTAGACACTAATTAAATAGAACTTATATTATAGTTACATTATCCTATTTATAAATTTTTCATGAAAGTAAAATAATAAGTAAAGTAAAACGTAGAATATAAAATATTATCTGAGAATCGTAGTTTCTGAAAGTGAACCCACGTGAATATCGATTCTTCCTTAGAATGATATTTAAGAAAAAATATTAACATTATTTATACATATTTACAAACTACATTACATATTTACCTTACATATTTACAAAGCATATTTTTACCTTACATATTTACCTTACATATTTACAAAGCATATATATATATATATATAACTGCGATCCGGAAGTTTCTGGAAATCCAAGGTCCAGTTTCAAGAAATCATTGATCACATTTATGCATAGGAGTTCTTGTATATTTTGTTTAAAAATATTAGAACTAGAATTTATGCTAGACATCTCTTTCATTTGTAAATATTTTTTCTTGTAGAGTAATAAATATAATTAAAGATAAAAGTAAAATTATACATAATTATTCATTTAATTGCACATAATTTACTTAGAATTTCATGTTTTGAATATTAATGATTTAAATTTATATAGACATTAATTTTTTGAAATGCTTCATTAATGATTTTAGGATTAATTTTCAGGATTTTTTAATTGGGCTCGCAATCACCCCTGTGTATATGTATATATATATATATATATAGCAGGAGAGATAAGAAATACAGTAAAAACTTTATGGAATAAATGTAAAGGTTCTCTTTAGGACGCATTCCTTTACGAGAGACATTTCAAAATATAGAATGATTATCCTAAGATAAAATTAAGAGACCTTATTTTAATTACCCTTGTTCTCAATCTTAAATTTACATTTTTTAAAGGGTCCATTTTTAAAAGAATTGTTTTTTGCTATTTTTATATACGTTTTTTGCTATTTATTCATTTTTCATTATGAATACTTGTTAAGTATTACCAGTTTGATAATATTTATAATATTACTCATACTTGTCCAACTAATTCGTTATTCACTACGACTCTTATCATTATTAGCCTTCAGTGTAACAAACTTATACCGAAATCCCTCGACATTAATCAGTGAAGTTGGTTGGCGTCTTTTAATTATTCACCTCTAAATTTCTCCGTAACAAACATTCCAACTCCTTTTGCACGGTCAGCAGCATCAAATGCAATGAATTAATTTATCAAGTGTTCTAACTTTCGGAAGGAGCAATAACATTCTATTCTTTCTCTTGTTCTGACCCCTAGGTTCGATTGCCTAAGCACATCTAATCCGAGATGGATCCCTTGTGGTTTCATTTAATAACTACTGCTGCGCTCATCTCTTGTGCCTATGTCGCATGCGATTCTACCGATGGTAAGTACACATGTTTCATTATTCATGTCTTTTGCCTTTGCCACAATATTATATATCCCATCTATCGCCAAATGGAACTGCGCTTGGAATGTTTGGCCATTTTTAATGCATCCAACTGCTGCGAACAGCCAATCTGGGACCACAGACAAAAATTATGGATATTGTTGATGCTGTGAATTCTTGTAATCTTAAAAATAGTAGAATATGCTGCAGATACACTTTATTTCATTTACTTGATCTGTGATTTACTTTATTTCATTTACTTGTTTGGGATCGCGTGAAATTTATGTAATTTGTCCAAGCAAGATAATGTAAATTTTAAGCTTAATATGACATTTTAGCAATGTATTTTTTATCGTAAAACCTGCTTTACTATTTAGAATTATTGAAAAGGTTGAATTTTGTTTTTAATTGATATTGAAAGAGCAAATATGAATTTAAGCAACTTCTGATAAATTTATCATCCAGGAGTAATAATTGCAAAGAGCCAATAAGGACGCTAATAATAATGAATACTGTACCATTCTTATGCTCCCATCTCGTAAAATGTTGTGATTTCTGTTAAATTATTGATAAAGTTATTTATTATTCAGTATTGTTAGCGCGTTTTAATTATATATTTTATATGTATTTATATTCCCATCTCGTAAAATGTTATGATTTCTGTTAAATTATTGACAAAGTTATTTATTATTCAATATTGTTAGCGCGTTTTAATTATATATTTTATATGTCTATGTCTACCTGGTTTCACTACAACTGCGTCAATGATGCTGAAAGCTGAATTTTGTTATAATTCATGTACAGCCATAGTGGCTCAGGGGATAGAGCGTTCACCTTTCAATGAGTTGAACTGGTTTCGAATCCCAGCAATGGCTAGTCGATACGAATTCCACACACGGCTCGCATCAACCCCAGTGCTGGCGTGAAATATCCTCAGTGGTAGACGGATCATGGGTTAGAATCCCCTTTCCGCCAGGATAGCCATTGAATGTTTTCTTGGTTTTCCATGCGGGTTAGTTCCATCAAAATGTCCTTCACGAAGGCAAATTTCTCCCGATACTTGATCCAGGAGTTCCCTTGTCTTCTAGATTGGGTTCAAAATTACAAAGCTGCAGAGTTAATTTGTAGTCGAAAACCCAAACTTGAGTCGACGACGGTTATAAAATAAAATAATTGTTGAAATTAAATCATATTACGCCTAATTTTTCATGAAATCAAACTAGAGTAAAATTATTTGAGTCTTAAGCACCATATTTTGAATCTTGAGAAACATAAAATAATCTTTATCACTGTATATTACACCAAAAATGCAAAACCAAAACTTTTTTGACCAAAGAAAAATTCACATAAATGCCAAATAAATCTTATCAATATTTTTAAATTGTTCTTGTTTTGTTAAAAAAAATGTATGTTTTGAATAAGTCTTTCTAGAAAAATATTTTATAAGCCTATTAATTTTTTTTTTTTTTTTAAATTTCTGAGTTTATTAGCTTTTTGATACTTAAATACACCTAAAATTGATTTTTACTTAAAACCTGCTCATATGTCTTTTTTTTTTAAATCAGATTCGGTTTAGATATTATTGGAATTTTTTTTTCTCTTGACTGGCTTAACAATCGCTAAAATTACCTTTTTTTTTCTTCAGCTTATTGCTTTTACAATCTGAAGTCGTTTCAAAATAATATTTTCGTAGGTTACAATATTTTAATACGAAATACATATGCGCAAAGTGTCACTTTTTTGCTTGGTTGAGAGAAAATTCAATTTCACAACTAGAAAAGTTTTTTTAATATATTTCGCCCTGTTATTTCCAGCACAAATAGAGGAAACCCAAACTTTCCGAACCTCGTCGGGGGAACATTTAACGTATCATTGTTATTTCTTGCATTACGGTGCTATAAAATTTGAAAATATTTGACTGAGATAGAGTGCTCCTACAGCGAGTTCCGCCGTCAGTGGAACGTCATAACTTACATTTTCGCAATTTAAGTTCGTGGAACGCGCTGTTGAAAAGCATTCTGTGCGCTGTCATATATTATGGCGGTGAACCAGGAATTGTCGTCTCGCATTTCTCTGACAGTTCTGAATTCGCAGAGAACCTCGGTTATTTGTTTTGAGCGGACATTGATATTTTCAATTTCTACTCATTTGGTAGTAGTCGTGCACCAGCTCAAAGAATCGTTGTTTTAATTACTTAGAAGTATTATCAATAATTGTTATACTGCATTATTTAATGTAGTAAGTTTAAGTGCCTTGCACTTGAAACAAAGCTATAATTTTAAACTATATATGCCATCCTGTCGTGAAGAATTTTCTGAGCTTTTGAACGGAAAAATTACTTAAATATTTTAAAAGTTATTAATCTTTTTTAAGAATCGACAATTGTGAAGTAGTATTGTAAAAATTTGCTGCAACTGTAATGTAGTTAACCATATCATCGTGTATATTAAGGCATGCTATATGGCATTATGTCTCTAAATTTCTTAGATCTTTTAAATTTTTTAAATTAAACGAAATTTTCTGGCAGACTCTATACAGTAATGTTTTATTGATTTCACGACTTCGCTGTTTTTCGAAACTCTGTCGCCAAGGAAAATTAAAAATAGCCATAGTTTAAGTTCCTTACACTTGAAGCAATGCCATGATTTTAAACTATATTTATATAGTCGTACCGTGAAGACGTATTTGGGTTTTAGAACAGATTAAAACTTATATGTTTTAAAAGTTATTTAACTTTTTAAAGATCGCCAATTTGGTTACATTTTTCCACTTAGATCAAAATTATCAAAATCACTGCCTTATTCTCAGTTTTTGCGCATTATTTTGAGATCAGATAATGCAGCATTGGAGTAAGTTTTTAAATATTAAAAAATTATGCTACAAACGCTTTACATTTTCCCAACACTGTGGCTTTACTCCATATTGACGTTTTGAGACATTTTTCGAATAAGCATAGGGGCTCTGGCTTCAAATAGGATAAACTTGACGTAGCAATCATGAGTAACTGTTACAATTGCAAATTAATGGCAGTTATGAAATAGCATATTAATCGCAACGAAGCATCATTTCATAAGACAACGGAACCTTCGAAAAACAGCCTTAAGAGACCTCTTTCCGGGGTAAATTTTTAAAACACTTTTAGTTCTCTTTATTTAATTTTCACAAATAAACTAATAGTGGATATTTACTCTAGTATCTTTCGATGCGTGTAAAATACAAGGCCTTCACCCAATCGGAATCTGAGATTCAAAACGTGTAGTATTTTATATACACTTCTATTTATATTATTTTTTTTTGGGGGGGGGGGATTAATCCAATACAATTCTGCAACCAACAGTTTTTAATAGGTAATTAAATTGTAAGCAGTTGTTTGCTTTTAGATTTTTGATAAATATCTTTGTTTTGAGACGTGGTGGCTAAGAGATGGCTGGTCGATACGAATTTCGCTCCCGACTCGCACCTACCACAGTGCTGTCGTAAAATATCTAGAGTTGTAAACGGAACATAGGTTAAAGTCCCCTTGCCTTCAGGCTAACCGTGAAGTGTTTTCGTGGATTTCCTCTCCATTTAACACAAATGTGGTTTAGTTCCTTCAAAAAACTCTCGACGAAAGCAAATTTCTCCCAATACTTGATCCAGGTGTTCTCTTGTCTTCTGGATTGGGCTGCCTCTTGGAAGTTACATGGCTGCGAAGTTGAACATTAGTTGTCGTAAACCCAAAATTGCGTCGGCTGTTCAACGACTGTTATAAAATAAGAGAAATATCTTTGATTTTGTGCAATTAACGTAAAAGAATATTTATCATCATCCAAATCGGTTTAAATTAGTTAAAACTGTAATAAAATTAGTTTTTTTTAATTAAATCTAGAAACTAACAAATTTTTAGTTTTAAAAGACTTACTCAAAACCATAAATCGCATAATTTTTTTTTCCCTTCGAAGCTTTTTTGGAAAATTCCATAAAAGTTCTAAAAATGATCGAGCGCTATTTCTCCTTATCAGATAACGCGACACTTTTATTTTCCACCTTTTTTTTAAAAGGTGTTATGCTTTCGAATGCTACTATATTATCAAAAGCTTGGATACAAAAAGGAAAAAAATCAAGAAAACGCAAATCAAAAATGTAATCTAAAATCTAACATGGCGACGATTTATATTTTGATGTATGTGAAGTAAATATTTTTTGGCCTGTAAGCTATATCTAAGACTCTATCAGCTATCAATTAAAAGAATGGAATAGATCGGCTTAGATCTATTTTATTTTCTTGGACTATTGTTTCGATGCAGCGAAGTAGAGGATCGAGTCAAATTCTCTAACCACTGGACTACCACGGCCCATTCAACTATTTTATTTATGTAATGACTGAGCATAGTTTATATTAATTTCAATTTTATACCTTTCAAAATACACACCAAATAAATGCGCAGTTCCACTTTTCTAATTTAAAGAAATACATCTTTTTTTTTTTTGAAAATAGGTTAGATATCCTGAATTACCATGGCTCATCGTTTTGCTGTTTCGTATCTTAAAATTTAACTTTTTCAGAAGCAGCTCCACAATGATATTGCCCAAATGTTACATTAATTTTAATTGCGTTTCTCTACATTAATTTCAATCGAAAAACATACTTTAATGAACATTTCCCAATAAATTTCTAATTCCACATGCCAATTTAAAAGAAATGCATTTTTTTATATTGAAAATAGTAGATTAGATCTTACGAATTAACTTCGCTCTTCATTTTGCAACTTTGTATCTTCAAATTTTAACTTTCCTTTTAGAAGGAGCCCGCAGGAATAATTCTTGACAACTAACTTTTCCGATCGAATATCGGATATCGATCACCCCCTTTCAGCACAAGTGGGCGCTCATCTCGTACGCGATATCGATATATCGCTGTTGACATTTCTGACAGTTTTGCGATATCGAATTTGTCTGTTTAAAAACAATGTGTTTGGAGACTTTTTTTTTATTTGTTTGTTTTCTTCAGCAGCTTATGCATTCTTTCGTTTGTATCATCTATACTTTTCTCTTTTTTTTAATGTTCCGAGTAAACGTTTTTTCATGATTTTATTTTTAAAAAATTAGTCGCTTTTTAAGCTAGTTTATTTTATTTGTCACATTACTCAAAATGGTACTTAAAATTATAACTTTTTAGCAATAGTGATGATAGAAAATAAATGTTAATCTTATTCTCGTAATTATTTCTTCATTTATTGCAAAATAATTAGCGGAACTTTTGCTTAAATAGATTTCTATGATCTTTTATTACTTTTTGATAAAAAGGACTACATTATAATTTTTCTGTATAACATTATGTGTAATTTTTTAAGTGCTATTGCTTTAAAAAAAATTATTTGACTGAATATTTTTCTTGCTACATTCGGCTTCTAAGATAGTTTTTTCCTTCTATCGTTAATATTTTTAAACATATTTACAACAAATCTTGCATTAAGACTGTTCTGTTGTATGCTTTTTTCTATAAATGAGACTTTTATCCTTGATCTATGCCACATTTTTGTTATAAAGGAGTCAAAGATATTCTTCTCAAATTCGGAGCAATTATCAATTAAAAAGTTATTCTTTGTTTTCTTTAATTTTGTTCAAATGTTTTTCTTTTACTATTCAGAAATCTGACTATGAAACTGTTGTACTGTTGAAACAATGTACAATGAACTGTCGTGTAAGAAATTAATTTTTGATTTTTTGTTAAGCAAAAATTTTGAATAAAAACAAAAATTCAAAACTTCTGAAGTCAAGAAAAGCTATGGGCATTCACCATAAAGAGATTTACTTTAACTGTAAATTTTGCACATAAAAACGTGGTTGCTAAAGAACTGTAGATTTTTTAAAAATTCAATGAAACTGAATTGAAACAAAATACAAATTTCTATATTTCCGACAAATCAATGTCATTGAGATGTTTTCGGAAGATCTTCAGATTCAATTAAGTAAAACATTTCAATTAAACTAGTGATAAATTCAATTAATTTTCAATTGTATGATAAAATTCAATTTAGAAATAATGCGAGTGATGAATTATCACTAAATAATTTTAAAAAATTCGAATTGTCTACGTATCATCTGCATTGTTTTATAGAGTCCTGAAAACCTGCGAATGCGAAACATTAATTCATTATTTTCATCATAAAACTTATACTATAAGTTGAAGGGAATTTTTATTAACTTGAAGGTTAGATAGAAATAGTTTAGAACTAGAAAATCTAGTTTTTGTGGGATGGATGTGGATTATTTTTAGTGAAAAAAAAAGTTTGTCGGGTGGTTCTGGTATTAAATTTCTTTGTTTGCAAATTTTTTTGTGATGTTTTACTTGGAATCATAGTTTGTACTTGCTTATATTATGAAAATTCTATGGTAATTTTTTTTTTCATTGCTAAGTTGGAATTAAATTCAGAATCTTGCTAAAGCGAAAGAAAAATTTTGTTTCATTAAAAATAATTTAAAATTTATACAGTAATTTCATGTTTTCTTTCAGAAGAGTTCAGTTTTAAAAGAGTTTTTATGGGGGGGGAGTGTATTTTTCATTTAAAATGAAAAAGATACAAAAGAACCCATGTAAACCATAAACCCATACCAATCCTGATAATGTTACGAAATCAAATTGGACTAAATTGATCCTTCTGAAAAAATTAAATTATTTATGTCATGCCGAGAGAAATTTTTTCCTGTTACATGAACCAATCAATGCAAATTTTTCTTTCTCAGAATTAAATTCACAGAGAATTAAGTACAAATTTATTGTTATTTTTAAACATTAACAGTATATTTAGCTAAATTTGGGACAACAAAAAGGCATCTAATTTGCAGGGGGGAAAAAATTGTATTACTGAAGTGTTATGCATTGTAATAGGGCAGTATTGTTTTCTATATGTGCCGAATCCTTTTCTGCCTATGTTCTTATGGCACCCAAAGAATAACTCTATTTTTCCATAAACTCTACAGATAATGATGAATGATGTAGTTAAAACAAACTAAGGTTTGCAAAGAATTTAAAACATTGTTTGTGAATATTTTATCCCTAACAGCAATACTAACCTTAGAAACGTTGAAATAAAATGAATTATCTCTGTAGTGTTTTAATATCTTTATAAGAGTGTTAGCAAACTTAACTAAACTCAGTGGCGCATCAGCCCATGAAGGCTCTAGGCCTACTATGCCCATTTCAGTTTTCTGACCTTATGTTCTGGGGTGCAGGAGCAGACGTTTATGACGGGTGGTCAATCGAGTTTTCGGTTTTAGCTTAGTTTAGCTAAGCGAGCCAGTTTCTAGTCTCCAACCATGCTTGGCGCTTATTTTATCGACTCACTGAAGGGATAAGAGACTGAGTCAACCTTACCCGGTCCAAGGATAGAACTCCGAACCTGTTGCAAGAAGGCGCAAGTGCTACCATTCAGCCAAATGGCGTCATAGAGTATTAATACCAATATAGTTATGTAGGGTACCAGTTTTGGTAATTGTGTAAGAAACTACATTTTTAATAATTCAAACAAAGTATGTTTTATTCCAAAAGAAGTTGAATTTAATTTATTATAGTTCGCCTAAGCCATAATTCCAACAGCTAGCTATAAAAATTTACATTGCAACAATATTTATGTAGAGAAAATATCTGATTTATAAATGTCGTTTTATGTTGGAAAAGAATGTGTTAGAATTCAAGTTAAACTTTTATTAAAAGTTATATGTTAATTATTATTTAATTGATTGATGTATTTTATCGGATTAACTAAGACAATTGTAACCCACCGAAGAACAATTAGTATGTCTCACTTCGATGTTACAATTGAAATTTCAAACTGTAGCAATGAAACAAAATTTGGTCAAATGATTTTTTTAACATACCTTTTGTAAAAGTATCACCTCACCTTACTATGTTGATTGTGTATAGTGTTCCTGTTTCATTAATTATCAGTGTTGTTTTCAGATTTCTCTCACAGAGAGTACGTCAAATATTTAACAAGTAAGTGGGTTCAGTGATTAGGGCACATAATTTTAAATCATTTGCTTAACATTCAGACTCTGCACTGAACTCAATCACTTAATGCATTTAACGAAAATTATTTCACTTAACATGCATTTCGAAAAGTAGAATGTTGCATTCGTGCCTTCTTCTTATTCTACCTTTTTTATGATTTATCCCATTCACTTTTTGGAAAATATTTATCATCAAATCTACGTACACATATTTTAATTCAAGCTTCTGAAATTTTGCTACAAATAAAGCTTGCTTATAATGTTTTGTTTTATGTGCATCCATGGCATTTTTCACTACTATTTTTCAAAATCCCTTATGTGCATCTAACTATGTATGTTATCGTCAATGTGTGAAATACTCATATTCTGCACAAATGCTTAATCCTTTTTTTAAAATGCGGAGCTTTTATATTATGTATGAAATATGAGAATTGCTATATAAGGGAAAGTTGGGCAAAACCATGTCCTGAAGATTCATTTTTTCAGAATGTCTAAAAAGATTCGAAAAAATTGTTTCTTTTATCCCTCGGTGACCTTGAAGAGAAAGTTCTTTCCTCCCAGTTTCAGTGTGGGTGGCAAGTAGTTTCAAATAAAAGAGCAGGCTTCTAATAAAATTTTTAAAAAATTTAATTTTTGAACACGCTATTTGTTATATGCTATAAACGAAACTAATACAATTGCTGATCCTAAGCCTGGAACTAGTGTAAAGGGAAGTTACTTGAAAACACTCTCATAGCCGTTTTTAAAAGTTGTTCCATTATCGGATTTTTCGTTATCTGGATCAGCTTTTGTCCTGAGCGGACCTTTGACACTGTCTTTCATTCATCTCTAAATAAGACACTGACTGTTTGCAAATAGTATCATTTGATTTTTGATAGATGGCAACAATAGTTTAGTCAAAAGTACCCGGTCTCTGTACTTTACCTAGTCATTGTATAGAATGCCTGTAGGTTTTTCATTTGCCATTCTATTCTATGACTAGGCAATGTGCAAAGCGTGTATCGTTCCATACTTGGTCTGTAAGTCATCAGTCATTTATTATCGAATGCCTAAACAATGTGTGAAATATTTATCATTTCATGAAATGACTGAGAAATACAATGACTTTGTAGAATACTGGATTTCACACAATGACAGCAATATACACAATTCAAAACCTCCTTAACACTGTTCTTGTTATAAATGGCACACTATCCTGATATTTTTCACTCATTACTAACTAAGAAATACAATGATGGTAACACATACAGTAGAAAACCTCTTGAGCACCATCCTTGTTATAAATTTCACACTATCCTGATATTTTACACTTATTACAAATGTTTTTATTATATTTAAATATTTTTTAAGAGAACTTTTTTTTATTTCTCCTATGCTTAATCATAATAAGTTAAAAAGGAATTTTGTAATAAAGTATTTTACAACAATGTCCCCAGGACGCTATTTCGTCGACTAGCAAGTAGCAAATTGTTAGTTTTTTTTTTCTTTTAAGTACTAGTTATAGAAAGAAGCCATAACAAAGATTACTAGTAACTTCTAATAGTCTGGATTTTTGATCGTTTTTCTTTTTTCACTTGATTTTTCGAACTCCGGTATTTTTAATACCATGTTAATACGACACGTGAATATCAAATTCGAGTAATAATTTTTTCACGTACTCAATTCGCGATGATCTCGTCGTAAATCAACTTAGTCTTGCGACGGTAACAGCATAGTTTTTTAGATTTCGACTTTGGAATTTCAAATTTGAGTAATCACTTTTTGATGTGCTTCATTCGCGACTACTCCATCATTTTTCGGCAATCATCTTTCGTTTTTAAGGTCTTTTTGACATGGATTTTTAAATAATGATATTTTTAATATGATGATATCACAACACGAATTTCAAATTTGACTAATCACTTTTTGGTGCAAGCTTGCCATTGTAAATCAACGTTGTTTTCTGCTCTTTCTCCGGGCAGTTGTTACAGTTGATTGTCTTTCTTCCGACCTAGCAATTTTTACATCGTTTTTAAAATCTCGATATTTTAAATACGATATTATAACTACGTATTCGGATCGCACATTTGAATACTTTAAAATTCATACGAGTATAAATATTTAGCATTCAGTAATCATTTTATTGAAATAACTCATACAGCAATGATTATTGTTGAATTATTTGTGCGACACAGCTTGTATGAACCCTGATTTTACTAATAGTATTTTAGCACTAGAAAGCTTAAGCACTAATTTTGATAAATGAAATCATGCCGAGAATATACCTGATTGTGCTCTTAATGTTTTAAATAAAAGACCATCTTATTGTATCAATCAAAATAAAAAATATTTTTTCATACAATTTTCAGTACATTGTTTTGTTAAAATCCATATTAATCAATTTCAAAAACATATATAATGTGTATCAAAAGTTTTTAAATATTAAATCATTTAAAGCCTTACTGTTGGTCTGACTTAATTACTGTTGATATAGCTTATAAATTATTGTTGGTTTAATTTGCAAATAATTGCTGGTCTATTAAAAAAAAAGTAAAGAACGAAAGAAAGAGCAGCAATTCCAGCTCGAAACATTCGAATACGAACCTCAAAAATCCGGTCTCCTCAATAGTTTTGCTAAGTCCGGATTTTAGATATTTTACTGAGGTTAATAGAGATGTCGAAATTACAAGCTTAAAATTATGAAAAATACGAGATTCCATCATAAAATCAGATGGTCTATTTCTCTTATTTCGGCAATTATTCTATGAATTTCTGCATGATTTGTCAAATCTCAATAATTTAATGTTGTACTAGAACCACCTAATATTTTTCTTTTCTCGATGTAATCAAATTTCGACAATTAAATCGTAAATTCACTTAGTTTTGTCGTTCGTCTTTTCAGCAGTTATCACGACTCATTTTTACGTGGTTTTAAAAATCCCGTGTATTTTTAATAAACATCCGCGAATTTCGAATAGCGCATTTCAGTAATCAGTTTTTGATGCGTCCGATTTCTTCATTAATTCGTTTTCTTTATCAATCGTTTTCCAGCAGCTCTTGTAATGGATTTCCATTGAGTTTTTAAAATGCTTATATTTTTATTATGAAATTGTTACTAAGCATGATTTTCGAAATGCGCATTTAAGTACTTAGTTATTTACGTGATTACGTATTGCGGTCTTTTTCTCCAAGAAGCGTGTTTTATCATTGTTTGATAAAAATATTTTTTAATGTTTAAAATTTTCTAAAGTTATTTGCTTTATATTGCATAGAATTTGGAATCAAAGTAGTATTCTACTTTACGATACGATAGTATTATGATGCGGGCATTTTAGTAGCTCCCCGAGCTTTACGGAACTTTCTGGATTTTTAGAAGTTCGGATTTTCGAGGTCTTTCTAGTAGCAAAAAACATGTCTTTCTATGTGTGAAAATTCCTATTTTACTATATTATTAAATCTGTGATTTGAAATCGACTTAGTGAAACTCTGACTACTTAAAGAGTCCTAAAAAGTTCAAAATACCCAAAGTTTGACTGCTAAAAATTAAATATGGTAATTATTAAGGTGTTGATTAATTGCTATAAGATTATTTTTTCAAACTAAATGGACCTAGAATATTTGGATTGGATATTACAGTAGGAATGTTTCTGAATTGCCTCTTCTTCTTTTTTTCTTCATTTTTTTAAAAATTAATTAATGATACTTTACTCGGATTTTTGCAATTTCCTTTGGCTGATTATCTGCATTAGAAAAAGGTTTCCTCTAACAATGAAAATAATGTGCAAGGAAATTATGTATAAACTTACCTTGAGACCATAGCACCAAAAGCGTTCAGAATGTTTTACTTTATTTTTTCAGAAAGTTTTAATAAACCCTTTGTTGGATTTTGTCTAAATATTTTCACATGGCTGCTTTAGTAAGAGGAAATGTTGTTTCCTAGAGATTTGAAATTCCCAAAATTTTGTTTTTCACTCAATGAAAATACATTTTTATTGTGTATTATGAATATGTATGACTCTTCTTTGAATGCATGAAATTATAGATAAACTTAAAAATGTCTATTTTCTGTTTGTTTGTAGAATATAATTCTTAAAATATGTTTTTTTTTATCAAAAATTTAAAATGATACATTATATTATTTTTTTCTATAACATAACTAGCTCCTTTTAAAACTAAACACAAATATAAAAAAATTAAAATAGAATATAGTGGGATTTTCTTCAGAAAAGTATTTTTTTTCCCTTGCAGATAACATTTCCCTTTTAAAAAAAATTTAAGTGGATCATTTTTGTTGAATATTATTATTTTTTTTTTTTTTTTTTTTGCTTNTTTTTTTTTTTTTTTTTGAAGTGGATTCATTTTATTTGACTTGTTGGTACTTTTAAACCCTAGAAGCGTGTTTTTTTTTATCACTGTTTAATATTTTTATTATTGTTTGATAAAAAAAAAAATTTTAATGTGTAAAATTTGATAGTAAAGTTTTTTACTTTGTGTTGCACAGAATTTGGAATGAATGTAGCATTCTACTTTCAAATTTTATAACAAAATTACATTTTTGCCAAAATAATTATCCTTTTTGTCTTTTTCTTTTTAGCTATGTGCAAACGAGTGATTAAAAAATATATTGCTTTTCTATCTTAAATCGCTTTATAAGATAACTATATTTAACTCTAAATCTTATTGCGTTTTTACAGTTTTAACTTGCAATAAGTTGCACATACAAATGAATAAATGTATTTTATTTCAAAATATTAGCATATAAAAATTTCATGTTTGAGTGCCACTATTTTTAACATTATGTGAAAGCATATATATTGTAAAATTTTTTGTAAATATTATTATTTTTGAAAAATGTTTTATTGTTAAATTATTATCAGAAAAATCTTTTTTCTGCAAATATTATTTTTCAATTTTCTCATAATATAAAACAAATGTTCTAACTTCTTTGGTAATTCAAATTTTCTAATTGTTAGTAATTGTTTGTATTAGCACGTTTTTCACTTTAATTTTTTTTTTAATGACACTTCTGAGATGCTCAGCAAAATACGACAAATTTTGAGATAAATGTATGAAAATGAACTCCTGTCTTCTTGTAATGTAGTGGTTCCCAATTTTTCTAAGCTATGGAACTGTAAATGATCGATCTGTTTTAGCCGGTACCCCAGAATTTATTATAAATCCTGAACACATAACCAATGAAACAGAATTAATTATTTTGAAAAGATTTATGTTACTTAAGTAGTCGTAAAATTTTTTCCCTTCTTAAACATTTATCTAGCATTTTATTCCATTAAATATTTATTAGTATTTCATACTTATTTCATTTCACATTTATTTAATTTACCAGATATTTTATATTTATTTCATTAAAATAACCGAAGCATTAAATAAATTGTTGATTGTTAACTTATTATTGGTTTTAAAATAGTCCTTGTGATGTGTGTGTGTTGAAAAGGTGTTACACAGAACCCAAGGGTTCCGTGGAATACCTTTTGGGAACCACTACTGTAATGTATGAAAACTAATTTTCCATACGCTGGAATACAAATGAATTAAGATGTGTCAAAAGTCCTATATTCCTTTTAAATTTCTCTTATTTGAAACTGAATTTATTCCTAAGAGCCCATACCACGGGAAGAAACCTTTTGTTGAAAATTCTTTTTCTATAGCTATTTTAAAATTTATAGTATAGAAAAAAATGAGTTCAAACAAACCTGAAATAAGCCATGAAGTTTTAAATGGTGAAAAGGAATTTTTAAAATATCCCAAAAATTCTGAGATATATATTCTATAATAATTTGTAACTTATAATTATTCCAATAGATGAAGATAACTTATAATTATTCCAATATTTTTTTTGCTGTTACTTTTGTTGTAATTTATTTACGTCGCACTAGAGCTGCTTAAAGGTGACGATTTGGGAAGCATTCCTGAGGATGATCCGAAGACATGCCATCACAATTTTGATCCTCTGCAGAGGGGATGGCACCCCCGCTTCGGTAGACCGACGAGCTGCACTCGAAGTGGAGCACTTTGCAGTAAAAGAGTTTAACGAGGGCCAATACCGCACACCCTCGGTCCCATTGCAGGTTGATCAAAGTGAACACCCACTGTGTACTAACAGCAGCCAGTGATGCTTAACTTCGGTGATCTGCTGGGAACCATGTCTTAACGATCAGTCCACTGCTGGACCAATTGGAGATGTATCTAATAAGAAGTTACAAGCTGCAAGCTGCATTTCGATGTTTTGAAATTTTTTCAGCAATTGAAACTTCATGTCTTACTCTAGGTTGGTTTGCTGGAATTCACTTTTTTTTTCTTTTAAATTTGTAATAAAGGAAAAAGAGAATTTGGGACGAAAAGTTTATCCTGTGGTATGGTGTCCTCATAATCATATGACATACATGCAACTCAAAATTGGTAGATTAAGATCTGAGTGCCACATTTATTGTATAATTATTTGTAGATGTTTAACACCAAAGTTACCTGTCGTCATGATTTGAAATATAATTTTCATGTTAAATTATCTTAGTTGCATCATTGCTTTTAATTTTCATCATGACGCAGAATTAATGATGTCTAAATTTGCAGATCCGCCTCGCATAGAAACATTTCCTCAAGACCAGACTGTTGCCAGTGGTGGCATTGCAGTGTTTGTTTGCACTGCCATTGGAAACCCAAATCCTCAAATTGAATGGCGAAAGAATGGCAAGAGAGTAACAACCCAAAGATATGCAGCTATAGATATGCCCAATGGCTCAGTGCTTAGAATTGAACCTGTCAGAGCTGGCAGAGATGACGCCACCTATGAATGTGTTGCTGAAAATGGTGTTGGGGAACCTGTAAGAGCATTGGCTGACCTCATTGTGCTACCGGGTAAGTGAAAGAATGTTAGACATTTAAAAAAGTTTTCTTTAAAAATAAAAAAACAGAGTACTTACTAAATAATAAAGCCTTCAATTTTAAGGACTTTATTTCAAAAAATGGTTATTTTTATTATGAAAGGCTGTTTAATCTTAGAAAAACATTTAGAATTTCACAAATTTTAAATTTAGCAAATTAGTATGTGTTCATCAAAAGTTAAAGAATTTACTTTCTTATTTCAGGGTGTTTTTTGAAGTTCTTTTGGCGAAAAAAATATAAAAAGCCTCACTTTTTGTGTGTTAATCTTGAAGCAAGGCCTTAATTTTAAACTTTTTTCTTCAGCTTAATATACTGAACTTTAACTGTTGTGGCCGTACGCCATTAAGGCAAACGGAATTGCGCCTCTTTTTGTTTTCCAGTGGAGCCGTCTTATGTCCAAGAATTTGGTTTCTACCACACACATTCGTCATAGCCCGTTTATAGGGCGGACCCATTCATGCATCCAAAGATCGTAATTTAGATCTTAACCAGAATGATCAATCTCTAATTCAGTACCCTTACATGCATAATTTGTTATGGAAACAGGGAGGACTAGCAGATTTAAGATGCACCAGTCACCATTTACCACGCGGGGAGTTTTCGGCCTGCGGGGATCAAACTCACGACCTCTTGAACATGCGTCCAGTGCCCTACCAATCAGGTTATCCCAGCCCTGAACTTGAAATGAGCAGCAGTTATAAACATTAAAAATTTATTTAAAACTTTTTTGTAAAAAAATATTTGATTTTAATATTTTTTTTTATTTGTTATTTCAATAAAACAAGAATGGTTCATTTAATATGCACAGTTTTTTTTTTAAACTCTAGTTTGGAGTTTGTCTCCAAATGTTTGTAAAAGTGTTCCCCTAACTTTCATTCGAACAACTGAGACTATCATGTCTGAGCATGAACTGGCTTTAACTGATACAGATTTGTGAATGATTATATCTTTTAATAACAAAAGGTAATCTGCTTTTCCATGACATGCCAATTAATTATAAGCCAATGAAAATTTTAGCACCATAGATTTTCCAAATCAAGTTTTCTGAATGCAACAATAAAGAAAAACTGGTTCCCTTCTTCTGCTAAAGTGTTAAATATTTAATTTGTTAAAATCATATACTAATAAGTACTTTTTTTTATCTTGTGATATAATAAAAAAAATTAAATCCATATTGAAATTTATTCTAAGACTCCTAAATTATTAATATACAATATTGCAAAATTAATAGATTGCTTAATGTACTTGAATGTAATTAGAATATAAGCATGCACCTAATTATTTAAATTCATATTGATAAATGAATGAAAAAATAAAATAACTTGTTTTTATTCATATACTATAGAAACCTGATATCATTTTTACTCTTAATGAATTTTGGTGAAAATTGAAAAGTCTAATTTCTTGAGTTATGAATAATCTTATAAATGTTTAAACACTTGCAAGCAAATTGCACTAGTGTTTATGAACACTAAAAAAAATATTAACAAGTTATGGAGTTCTTAAAATATTAGTAAATCATAAGAAAAACTATTTTATAATTATTACGGATATTGTTCATGAAACATGAATAATATAAATAAAATAATTTCAGTTATTTAAGAAATAGAAACACTTCCTGTTTATTTTTTATAAAGATATACATGTATGCAAGCTAAATTATGATACACAGCAATGCAAATCATACTTTATTGTAGTTTTTTACGTTTTTGAATTGTAAATGTACAACAATTGTAAATTGTCCTTTTATTCTTTTGCGAGTATCTGAATCATCTGTGGTAAATAAATAAAATTTTATATGAATTTTATCCTGTACAAAATCATTATAATGCAAACCTTGAAATCTGAGACTTGATGTTTAATGAAATTTTGTATTCTCTAGATCATTTCATCCATCGTTACATTTACCTACTAAATATGGCAGCATTAGACTGAAACAAAGCAATTTTGAAATGCTTTTATATAATTTTTAAACACAAATATATTTAAAAACACGAAATATACATTTAAGTATTCATAACTTACAGAAATAAAAATTAACTTTCTTCTGCATTAGAACTAATAATAAACAAATTAATCAATTTTTGTTTGCTAAGCTTTTGAAATTTTGGCCTCTTAGATGTAATAATTAATTTAGTAATTAAAAAATAACGTTATAAGTTGATAGTTCATGCACAGTTATAGAAATTGTTTAGACCCACAAAGCTACTGTGATTTATGGAGAATTACAGTTTTTAGAATTGCATTATATAGATCTTCTACGTATAACCAAACAAACACATCAAATTGTACAACCCAAAGGAAGAAAGAATTTATGTGATTCTCACTGCAAAATTTCTTTTAGCTGATAATGTTTATGAACAAAATACTAATTAAATATCTATAAAGCATAATTACAATGTATGTGATCAATATAAAATGTTAGCAATAGTATAGATCTAGGGTGGCGAACCTTTGTACTCCAACGTGCCATTTTTTTCTAAAAAATTGTTTAATGAGATCATAGACGTGCCGTCAAATAATTTTGACTTCGTGATTATTGGGAAAATAATAATACTAAATGCTATCAACTCAAAACTTTTTATTTACATTGAAAAAAAAAACATTTTGCAATGTCTCAGTTATACGCGTTATTCAACTTAAAGTAACATCAGTGTGACTTCTGTTGTTGTAGATTAGATGACAAATAACTTAGATTAGGTTGTAAGATGTTAGTTTAAGCAGAATTGTTAATTTTTTTGTTAGTTATTTATTGTTATCTTGTTTTTTATGGTTATTAGTTCTTTTTTTAGCATTAATTGTTAATTTTTTTATTAATAATTGTTTATTATTTTGTGTGTTTTTTGTGAATTTTAATTTAATTGTTAAATATGCTTCATAGTGTAATAACATTTGCGTAATAACAATTCATAGTGTAATAACAAATGTGATCGGTGGTGTGCCCAAAATATTGTGTCGGGTGCCATAAATGGCATGCGTGCCATTGGTTCACCATCCCTGGTATAGATAGATATTTATTTATAGTGCTCAATGTTTTTTGTATTCAAATTATTATTTTTTCCTTTCAAAAATGATTTTTAAAAATAATTATTTTTATATAATTCTTAATGCAACCTTCTTATTGCAGAGAATGCTTTACCGCCTGGATTTCCCACTTTTGTTCGGCAGCCCAACATGCAAGGCATTGAAAAGGGCCGAAGTGCTCTTCTCCCATGCCAGGCAGAGGGTGATCCAGAACCCAATATCAGGTGGTTAAAAAACATGATACCCTTGGATATGACAATACCTCGATACTCTTTGGTACAAGGATGTAAGTCCCCTACAACTTTCTATTATTTTAAACAGTCTAAGATACCCATTTAAAATTGAATTGAAATGATGTATAAGTGGTTTCAAAGAAAATGATACCCTAGATATACCTCGATATTCTTTGGTACAAGGATGTAAGTTTCTACAACCTTTTATTGATTTAAGCATAATGCAGTCTAAGATACCCATTTAAAATTGAATTGAAATGATGTATGGTTTTAAAAAAAATTATACCCTAGATATACCTCGATATTCTTTGGTACAATTATGTAAGTTCCTACAACCTTTTATTTATTTAAGCATAATGTAGTCTAAGATACCCATTTAAAATTGAATTGAAATGATGTATAAGTGGTTTAAAAAAAATGATACCCTAGATATACCTCAATATTCTTTGGTACAATTATGTAAGTTCCTACAATCTTTTATTGATATAAGCATAATGTAGTCTAAGATACACATTTAAAATTGAATTGAAATGATGTATAAGTGGTTTTAAAAAAAAAATGATACCCTAGATGTACCTCGATATTCTTTGGTACAAGGATGTGAGTTCCCACAATCTTTTATTGATTTAAGCATAATGTAATCTAAGATACACATTTAAAATTGAATTGAAATATTGTAGCATGTGATTAAAAAAAACACGATACCCTTATATATGTTTAACGAATATGCTTTGATTATCCTGCTTTATTGATTTTTCATTAATTGAATGTACCTTACCATTATTTTTGTTTACCTTTTTCTTTTATGTTTGACTTCAATATTCATCTAAATTCATTTCTATTAACTTTAGAATAATTCCACCATTTACAAATGTCATATTTGCAGCCTTTAAAAGCATACAACTCCGTTTAAAAAAATTGTACAATTCTAATAATTTTTGTAAAAAAAGTCTCAGTCTCATTTACTCTCGCTCCAACTTTTAGTAATTTTTTACATAAAAAAATTTAAAAATTTTAAACTAAGTGTTACATATGTGACACAATATATTACACCCATAACACTTAATTTTTAATTTCAAAAAATTTTAACTTTTAAAGGTTTTTAAAAATTGGAGTAAGTAAAAATTACTCTAAGACTTATTTCATAAACATTTTTGAACTGCTCAAATTTTTTTAACTGATATTATATGTTTTTATAATTGGGAAATGCAGCATTCATAAATGATGGTGGAATTGCCCTTTAGCATTATTTCTTTCTTCAATCGTTAACATTTTCTTTCAACATTATTCATTTATTACATAATATATTTCTTTTAGATTCTTTACAAATATCTGATGCCGAAGAGGAAGACCAGGGTAATTATGAATGCATGGCTGAAAATTCTCTTGGCTCAGCATTGTCTGTCATGGCAACACTGTTTGTCAGAGGTATGTCATTGTTTATTTTATTGTCCTCAAAGAATTCTATGGCAAGACCTATTTAAACTTTTCGAGAAATATCAGACAACTTTTAATTTTAATCCAAGGAAATTTCTTTATTTTTGTTTTAAAGAACTAGTACTGAATTTAAAAATAAAAAAATAAGTAAATGAAATAAAATAAAAAAAAATTTAAAAAAAAAAAAACAGATTTTGTTGTGCTTATATTGAAAATGAAAACTGGATAGAACAAGTTTTTCGAACTAATGTTTTCATTTTTATCAACTTGCCAATTTTTATAACCTGTGCTACTAAATACAAACTATTTTTTACTTTATTATATTATAACTTTTCCTTTACTTGTATGCTAAAGCTAAAACACTATGTAGAATTGCCATTGATGAAAAAATGTGTTTTTGTTTTTGTGTGCTTAATTAAGTTGGGGAAAATATGTACAAAAAATATTAATGTTTTTTCATATAGGGTTATCCAATAGAATCTAGTTAATTAGAGTTTAGATTGTTTGAGTTTTTCGTAAATCCAAGTTTGTGAAAAAAATTTATTTAGCTCCCAAAAAATGCCTTCCATGTACGTGAAAGAATAACTACACCTATAATATTATTTTTTAACTAAGTATGTTGAAGCACAAACATCTTTTTTGATGGTGATAAACGAACTTAACTTCAAAGAAATTATTCACAAANTCTAGTATCAAACTAACTAGATACCAATAGTATCTAGTTAGTTTGAGTTTGTCATAAATCCAAGTTTGTGAGAAAAAAAATTTTTAGCTCCCAAAAAATGCCTTCCATGTACGTGAAAGAATAACTACACCTATAATATTATTTTTTAACTAAGTATGTTGAAGCACAAACATCTTTTTTGATGGTGATAAACGAACTTAACTTCAAAGAAATTATTCACAAACTGGGAGTTTATTTACTTGGTGTTGTGAAAATGCAATAGAATAAAGAATAATGATGTTCTGGATGTCTCAACAGCTTTCAAAGCTATGTTAAGAAAAAATGATGTGGATTCTCAAAATGAGGATAAACTAAGTTGGGATGGGATACAGGAAGCATTTTTACCAGCAAATATCTTAAATTAAATTTATCCAATGCCAAAATACTTAAGTAAATTATTGTTGCAAATTGCTTTAATCTCTTTTACGAGCCACAAAAGGTAAGAAAACAATTGTAGGAGCTTTAAAAAAAGTTACTGTGACGGATGTTGTTTATTGGGTAGCTAAATATTACACTGCAATTTAATAATTGCTTTATTTCTTGTTTATATATTAAATTATTTCAAGAATGCGAATTTGCAATAGTTTGAGCTAGATCCGGTCCTGCTCACCTTGAATTATCAAAACTATATTTTGAATTCTGATAAAATAAATAAAAAACAGCCAGGTGGCGGAGTGGTTAGCTTGTATGACTGCAAAGCCAATGGGTTTGAATCCCCCTCAGGGCATGGATGTTTCTCAGTATGTTGTCCTTTGTTATGGGTAAATGTGGCCTACTCTATGAATAGGTATCTATGGCAGTATGGTGTAGTGACTTAGGTCACAAGGCGCTATCCAGCCAACGCAAAATGAGCAACACTTCCGGTGCCTTCCATGGCAAAGAACCCCCCATTAAAAAAAAATTATTTAAAGGAACAAACTGTTTATATTATCATATGCATTCAAATTTTAGTTTTAAAATTGTCAACATATGCTTTTTTTATGTAACATGTTTTAAATATTTTCAGTGAGGAGAGTTCCACCTTACTTCTCTATTCGTCCTGAAAATCTTTATGAAGTGATGCCTGGAAGTTCATTGAATATCACTTGTGTAGCTGTTGGTTCCCCAATGCCATTTGTGAAGTGGAGAAAGGGTCTCGTTGATATCACTCCTGATCACACTATTCCCATTGGAAGAAATGTTCTGGTGCTTACTGATATAACCGATTCTGCTAACTACACTTGCATTGCTGCCTCTAAACTTGGCACCCTCGAAACCACTGCTCAGGTTGTCGTACAAGGTGAGACACAATTATTCACACTAAAGGAGAGCGCAAGCTCGGAACTAGCAGCTTTTTTGTCCCTCAGTGAAATAGATATCCCACAAAAACAAATTGAAAGGAATGTTATATTCCAGAAGAACAAATTGCTTAAATAAGGCATTCTGCATTCTAATTCCTCATAAATCTATCAATCCTTATCTCCCCCTCTGCTGACCAGACGAGTGGTCTCTCGCTGTTCAAGCCCCTGTCCTCTAGCATCCACCATGTAAAAGGGGGCAACCACAAACAATTAGTAACTTACAAATCATCAATTTGTTTTTGTGGGATATCTATTTCATTGAAGGAGGAAAAAGCTGCTAGCTCCGAGCTTGTGCTTTCCCTTACTTAAGAGGATGCCAAATTCTCTTTAATCTTCATTACTGATTTAAAAGAAAGAAAAAGTAAATTCAGGTAAACCTAGAGTTTGTCATGAAACTTTAATTGCTGAAAAAAATACTTCAAAATATTAAAATGCAAGCAAATTATTAGAAAGAATTTATTTTCATTTGTATATTTTAAAATTTTCTTTTTAGTATTCAAAACTTTGTGGCTTACTCTAGGTATGTCTGATTTCACTTTTTCTACGCTTTCAATTTTAAATTAATAATGAACGAAAGAAAGAGAGTTTGCGAGGAAAATTTTCTTCTTCAGTATGGCATCCTCTTTACCAGCCATGAGATTCTTCCTCTTATTTGCTATTCCTCTCTTTTTTTATCACTTTCTACTCTTTTTAATATTTTTATTATTCACTTATCTGATTTTTATTATACAGTCTACTTGAATTTTATTAATGTAATAATACTTGTATTATTGTAATAATTCTTGCATTTTAAAACAAAGAACTTCTATATGTTACACAACATACCTTTTATCCAGTTGCATAACGCTTTTTTAAATGCATGGCTTTGTTAAACTAAGTACAATATTTATCAATTACGAGTAAATTATTGCAACTTTTTTCATGCTCACAATATAACGACCTCACGTTAAAACGTTCATTTTAGTTTAGATCTTCGGAGTCAGTGCATTGTGTGCAGTCTCAGTCTGTGTTTATAAGGATGTTGAAAATACCATCCTGCTGTAATTTTTTCTCATAAGCTTTTGAAAATGACCATTCTACCATTAACTAAATAACTGACCATTCTACCATTTCTGTTTCTCCCTTCTTCATTATGCAGTTTTAACAGGAAATAGGGAAACAGTATGAAAGTATTTAATTTAATATATAATCTTTAATTAATAATATAGTCTCTTCTTTTTTATTTTATTTCGAAAGCGTATTTTATTTATGTTTTGTATTTACTTTCAGCACTTCCAAGACCTCCAACAAATGTTCGAATATCAGATGTGACTGCAACGTCTGTTCGCTTATCATGGTCATACGATATAGGTTCAGAAAATATTATTTATTATGTCATACAATATAAACCAAAACAAGCTAACCAAGAATATAGCGAAATAAGTGGTATTACTACAATGTTTTATACTGTACGTGACCTGAGCCCATATACAGAGTATGAATTCTATGTTATTGCTGTAAATGGTATTGGAAGAGGCTCCCCAAGTACTCCTGTTGTTGCTACTACAGGCGAAACAGGTAAATATATATATCCTCTTCAATACATAGTTTTCTTAAATTAAGATTATTCTTGCTACAGAAAATTATAAATAATGTTCTTTACCAAGTTAGTCTGTGAGCACAATCCTTTAACTTAAAATTGAGGCAAATGTCTTATTATTATATCTAGTTTTCACCTTTATGAATAATAAATTATTTATTACTAAAAAAATATTTTAACTTAGGGAAAAGAAGTTATTAATCTTTATTCTATCAAAATATCAAAAAATTTCTAAATTATTATTCAACTTCAAATTTATTTTTTATCTATGTTAATCGTTTTTAAGATCAATAAGTTTACTAGATTCATTATAAGGATTTTCTGCTTTGCTGTTACTTTAGATTTTTAAATTTAGATGTGTAATTCAGATTTTTTAAAGATATAAAGTAAAATTACACTATCAATGAAAATTAAAGTCAATCTGTAGTATACATTTAATGCTTTTTAATCATATTTTGAAAACTCACTTATTTGTAAATCTGTCTTTAATTTTCTCTATTAGTATTTAAATATGTCCTTAATTTCCTGTTCTAACTTTTAAATAAGTCTTCAGATTTTTTTAAACTACTTAGTTTTTGAAAATAATAATAGTTTTTAATCAATATATAATTGTGCTTGTTTGTTCTTAAGTTCTGTGCTAGATAGCATTATATTTTAAATCAATGTAAAATTTCATAATCATTTAACTTGATCTTTCTAATATAAAGCTGAAAACTCTTTTTAATTCCTTAATCAACATTTTTTATTTCTTTAGTCTATATTTTTTAATTCTTTAGTCTACATTCTTTAAATCTTTAGTCTACATTCTTTAATTTTTTTTCTCATTTTGTTGTAACTTGATTATAAAATTCTTCTTTACTTTAAGAAAAAAATTGTTTGAATATTAATTTAATTTTCGAAAAACAAAATGTTTAAATTATAAACTTGTATAAAAATGTTCTTGATATTTCCAAATTCCTAATCATATGAAGCTTTTTTTATAAATTAATGATTTAAACTTTTTATGGTATTTTAATAAATACCCTATTTTAGTTAATAATTTAATGAGTCGTAGGTTTGATATAATTAGTTATAGTACCTGAAAATAATTTGTTAACCATAATATTTTACATCCTTCAGATTACAGGACTGAGCCAGGTATTTTTTGTACTCCTATACTTTTCTTTATTTTTAGGCTGTGTATTCTCTGTATAATCCAGTTGCAGAGTTTTATTTATTTGTAATTTATTATAGTTTAGTATTTGGAATAAAATTAAAGTTACCAAGTTTTGTATATAAAAATACAGTAGAGTAAGTGATGTTTAGTAATTAAAAGGCTAAAATAAATGATAATTTATTTTTTGAAGAAAAATACTTTAATTTCAGTACATGTGTCATTATAATGAAATATTGCTCGATGAACTTTTAAGGATTGGCAATTGGCATGTTAAATCAGATACTTAACCTACTGAGCTTTTGATATTTAAGTAAATTTCCAAAGAAATTTCTCTGCAATACACAACTTTCTTTTTGAATATCAAATGAAAGCTTCTTTTTTTTTTTTTTTTTTTTTTTTTTTTTTTNTTTGGCAGGTGAAAAGTAGGTAGGTACTTTATTTACGTTGCAGTAGAGCTGCACAATGAGCTATTGGCAACGGTCTGGGAAATATCCCAGAGGATGAACCAAAGACACACCGTTGCAATTTTGATCCTCTGTAGAGGGGATGGCTCCCCTGCTTTGATAGCCCGACAACCTGCGCGCGACGTTGATCATTTTATGGTTGAGCAGTTAAACCAGGACCGATACCACGCAACCTCGGACCCTACGCCGGCTGATCAAAGTGGCCTCCCACCCGGCAGGTGAAGGGCCATTTTAAAGTATTACAAATGCTCATTGTCTTGACATCTGCCACACATATGAAGTATCTTTAAGCAACTGTTTTTTTATTTTATTTTTTTGGATTTAAGTTGCGTTGTTGTAAAACTAACTGTTGAGGTTTTGTGTTTTTTCGCTAATATAACATAAGTGCATGTTTATATTACCTTTGATGGCACAGGGTTTAAGACACTGAGCTGTTATTATAGAACTGGGTATCTATCGTATGTGACAGTTTAAAGTTTGCCCAACTGCAGATCGATGCATATCAGGTATCTTGGGAAATTTCCACGCTAACAACATTATGATGGCGCAGGGTTATGATGGCACAGGGCACTCAGGAAGAGCTGCGTTTTTATCATTGGTGACAGCTTAAAATTTGCCCAGATCGATGTCTATCAGTGCAGATTGATATATACCAGTTAGCTTGGGAAATTTCCAAGTCACAACATTTCCATTATCTTCGACCATGAACTTTCGCGGCTTTAACCTCCTTGGTAATGCTTTTCAAATATATATTTTGCTCACACCACCTTTAAGTGACTATGCCTGATGTTTGCTGGCGTTTTCTTGTGTTTTAAGTGGAGTTTATAATTAATTATCAAGATGCAGATACTTATTTTTGTGAACCAAGATGGGAGAGATTAACAACTCATGTGTATTTGAGAAACATCAAATTTTTCATTTAACACATTTATCCCGACTTTATATATAACTTCAACCCCCCCCCCTCTTTATAATTCTAAATTGCGTCACAAATAACTAAATCATTCATAAATTATAGAAGTTAAAATATTTTAATTTACACAGACAAATGATAATTCTGAAAAAATGTCCTACCGCAATGAATGTTCTTGGGAAAAAAAACTGTCCTAAAAATATGACACTGCACATTAACTTTTTAATATAGTAAATGATGAAAATGATAAATCAAGAAAACTTTAAGAACCAAATTCTCATTGTGTAAAGTTGTTTTATTTAACCTGCCACTGGGTTGTATATGAACATTTCGTTATAGCTAAGTGTGTCGATTTGTGTTTTTTGTCAATTTAATGTAAAATAGTGTGTAAATCATTATTTCCATGAGAATTTTCTATTACATGTTATGAAAAATTAAGTTATTGGTTAAAAGTTTTGTTTTTAAAGTTTTTTTATTATATATATTCATGTTGTGAACAAGAAATTTGTCTATTTTTTTAATGCCACATCTAAAAGAAAAAATATTTCTTGTGTTTTATAAACACTCAAAATTTAGTTCAATAAATATAAAAAATTGCCTTCAAATTTTTCTGATGTAAATAAGTTGGAGAAGCCTTATCTATTCTAATGTTGAATTCTAATAATGTTTCCTCTTATTATTTACAATCATAGTTTTGTCCAATAAGCATTATTAATTTATAAAGTAAATTAAACATTTTTCTTAAAAACATCTAAAACTCTTAAAACTCATTGCAAATTACTATTAATGTATATAAGTTAAAGTTATTAAATTATATTAATATTGTAATAATAGCTATTACTATTTATTCATAAAAAAATTTGTAATCAAAATATTGGAAAAAGTAGCTGACACATTTTTTTAGGCTTTTTTTTATTGTTATTACTAATAATAGTTCTTTTAAACCGACCACTTGTCAAAGTTTTGTTCCTAAGCTCTAGAAAATTTCACCATTTATAAAAAATTAAACCTTCAGTAAATCTAACGTTTATGTAAATAAAATAACAGATCTATCTTTTTTTTTTTTGTGAGCATCTTTAATATTATAGCATTTTTTTTTTTACTTACACATATGCATTAAAAACAGTTTGTATGTACTATTTGAAACAATTAGATATGATATTGAATCATGAAAATTTTTGCCACTCTGCAGATTTAATTTCATATTTTGTTCTAATGTCTTAATTTTGCATTTCCAACAAAATTTATCTTTATAATTTTATTTCTTACAAATAGTTCTCAAAAAGGATCTAGAAATGTTATTTGGAAACCATTTATGCAAAATATATCCCATATATATATCCCCTTGTTTTGTCTTATTGTTTTAGAAATTCAGTATGTTTTAAATGCCTTATAAACCAGACCAAAATGTACTAACCTTAAAAAAGTGCAGCTATTGCACTTAGCATTTATTCTTTTGCACATAGTTTTTTAAAAAAATGCACTGGAATTTCTAGACCATTTTTTTTCAACGAGAATGATCACAAGCTTTGTGAAAAATGAATTTTGTAGATTCTATTTTACTTTTAGTGTTGGAAAAATGATTTATTCTTATTAGTGTATGAATAGAATATGAACTTTTTCATCTATGCATTGCATGCTCTCTCACCATTTACTATCATTATTAACTGATCATCAAATGTATTTAAAAAGTAACTAGTCTTAATAAGTGGCATAGCTTGCCTGAAATTCCTGCACTTTAGCATTTGAACCTTTTTATCTCTTTGTTTTATTTCCTCCTTCCCCAGTGGAGTCCTACGGAGGCAGCAGTAAGTGTCACACAATCTCCTACGTGTCACCCTTTTTCATATATTATTGCATGTTACTCTTTTTTCCTCTTCCTCTTCTCATCACCAGATAGATACTCATGTGTTGAAACACCAGCAACTACTTATGGGTTTATTTTCCCCATGAATATACATTTGAACTTGATGTACAATTTAGCAACATTAATAAATGCATATTTAAAAAACGAAAAAAGTTAGAGTAAGTGTATTTGTGGAAGGCTATACCAGTTTTAATTTAATTTATCTATTTATTTATTTTATGGCTGATAGAGCCTGCTGTTTTATTTTATAACTGTCATTGAACAATTGACCCAATGTTTGGTTGTACAGGGTTGCCACAGGCGACTAAAATGTATAACTATTTTTAGCATGAGGCGACTATGGCTACTTTTTTTGCCTGAAAAGGTTAAAAAAGCAACTATTTTCAGAAAAAGGAGACAATTGGGAGACTTTTCTGTACTCCTAGAAAAAAAAAATTTCTTCTTTAAAACATATTTTTAATTCGTTCAATCTGCACAGATTCCATTGTGAGTCTATTTCATTTCTCAATCCCTTTTTTAATGATTATTACTACAAAATAATCACTGAGTAATCACTTGAGTAATCGCTTTTCATATTTATATAAACATTAACGTTTATATAAAAATTATCATATTTGCGAACAACTTGACTGAATGGATCATGGTATGTGACAATTAAGTCATTAACAAAATTTTAGTCATATTTTTGATGAATTTTTGTTCTTCTTAAGGCAACTATTTTCCTAGTTTTTGGTTCATGCTTTAGGCATTTAAAAGCAACTATTATTTTTTTCTGTGGCAGCCCTGGGTATACGACACTACTAATGTTCAACTCTGTACCCTTGAAATTTTGAACCCAATCCAGAAAAAAAGGGAACTCCTGGATCAAGAATTGGGAGAAATTTATCTTTGTGGATGACTTTTTGATGGAAATAACCCACATTTGAGTTACATAGAGAGGAAAACCACGGAAAAATAATATAAAATATAGATAAAAGAAAAGTAATATATACAGTAGAGTCCCGATTATCCGAATTAATGTGGACCACGACTAACTCGGATAACTGACAAACTCGGTTAAAACAAAGAGTATAAAAAAAGAAAGGAAAAGAGTTGGTGTAAATGTAATATATTTAAGAAATATAAAATTTATACGAGTATACCACATGTAATTCCTATTATTATTAAAAAGCTTACTTGAAAAAACTTAAAAAGTATACTTTGCGAGAATTAAGGAGTTTTTACTTAAAAAAAGTCCTTAATCGTTTTTTGTTTTACATAACTTTGGTGCTTTTCTGCAGCAATGTTTCGCCATTTCTTTGGGATAACAGGAAGGCTGGTGTTGCCTCTTTATGTGAGCGGAAAATTCATATTAAAAAGTTTTAAACTGTGTAGCTTATTTAAATGACTAAGTCAAGTTTTAGTTCTTATAATTTCTGATGGATGACAACTATGTATTACATATTTCAAAGTTATTGCCGTGACAAATAATTCATATTTCTATTAAATTAAAATTGCTCCTTCTACAACAAATTCTTATTTTGAGTACTAAATCTTTTTTTCTTGATGACTTCATGACAGTTTTTAACCCCATATTAACAGAAGAACCTGGTTAGAGTTACTTTAAACATCTAGAAACTTGTTACAAATATTAAATGTAGAAACTTTGCTATCTTCAATTTTAAGTACTCATTTTGCATTCCATTTTTATATCTGATTAAATTTTCAGCAAAATAATAAAAACTCGGTACCATTTGGTGCTGTGCTAACCACATTTAAATCATTTTATTTCTGTTGAAAAATATTCTTTACTGGTAATTTTATACTAATTCTGATCTTTAAAACTGGTTGACTATTTTTTACTGATATAATCTTATTTTTTTTCTGTAAATTTTCCTCTGTTATTTGTTGTCTGTTTCTTGCTCTCTTTGTGTGGTTGACTGTCCCATTAAACGTTCCTTTTGTGTATGTGATATTAATGTTGTGGTGTGTGTTTTAATTTAATGAATAATTGTACAAATATTAATTATATTTTCCAAAAATTAAAAATAATATTTAAGCTTTTTCATTATCCAAATTCAGTTTTAGTATGTGTAGGCTTATATTTAATAAATTCTTATTCATACACCATTTAATATTTAAAAATTAATTCAATTTAGATACACTGTTCTGGTCTAGTTTTAATAAAATGCTATTGTTTACACCTAAAAATAAACAGATTAACTATTTATATTTTTTTAGCTACAATATTACAAACTTTGATCCTTAATTGTACAGGTTTAGGGAATAGTTTTAATGTATCATGTGGTTACTAGGAGTAACATCAATCTAGGATTCGAAGTATTATTTGTAATTTCACATTAAGGAATTCTTACAGCTGATGTTATTTGTTTCCTCCTTAATTCTTTCTTTTCATTGACAGAATAATATTTTGTTTTTGACCAAGTGGAATAGATAAATTATAATCTATTCTTCTTGCTCCAAAGTCTGCTGGTGTTTCTACTAACAGATTTTCTTTCAATTTGAAAATAGTAAAATGCATTGTTCTTAATTGTAAATGAAATGCTATGTGCAAGAATTATATGTGTTGAATTGCTTTTGATTTTTCTAAAAATACTTAGTTTTAATTTATGCTTTCATGCAACTGGGTCTTATTTTAGACTTCTAATTGCAATCAAGTTGACATTTACAGAATATTTTTTTTTTAATATTGAATTATTTTTTCTATTTTCAAATTATATAGAAGTATGGGTATCTATTGATCACTTCTATCCAAATCTTTTTTTTTTTTCCTAACTTGCCTGAATATTGCATGTCCTTTCATTATTTTCATTATATTCTTAAGTCATCAATTGTTTATAAATCATCTTATTTAATACTATTTAAGAATCACATTGTTAGTTTAAAGGAATGTCCCATATGTAGTGCTATAATAAAATACTGTATATTAAATGGTATACAAAGTTTATCCATAAAGTAAGTACCATTTGAATATTAAAATACATTGCCCATTAATTTTCGTTTGTATTTTGATACAGAAAAAAATCTAAACACTAAAAACTACTTTTTGACGTATGTGCCATGTGAATTAAGATGTGTCGTATTTTGGCACTTACCGATTTTACTGAATTTGACCACTTGCTACCTAAAAAATTTAGAACGTTTACCCATGGGTGCAAGTCTTCCGTCCCCAGGACGGATTTCCGTCTTTCGAAATTGTCCGCGGACGGAAGTAAGACGGAAACAAGACTGACTCGAAGACGGAAATCGGAATTTTTTTTTTCTGTCCTTAAAAATATTTTTTAGGTCTACGTTATTGGTCTACTTTCTTATGTCCTGTTGTTATTTTATCAAAAGACAGATGAATAAATATTTTTTGTACAGTATTTAAACTTGATGTATTATGGTAAAGCTTTCTTAGATAGTTTGCATATGTCGAGGGGGTATTGTGCATGTTAGGTATTTCAGTCAAAAAATTTTCAGTCTTGGCCTTCTTTCCAACTTGCACCCATGCGTTTACCTCAATCTCATCATGACTTGTAAACTGCTGATTGCTGGAAATTTCTCGAAATATATAAACAAATGAAAGTCAGATCTGATGGAGCTAGATCCAGACTTTAACGAGGGTGATATAATTGTTCCCAACAAAGTGAATTTCTCCAAGTTTATTATTTCCCATTAATTTTCATTTGTATTCTGATAAAGAAAAAAGTCTAAATGCTTAAAACTATTTTTTGACACATGTGCCATGTTAATTAAGAAGTGTCATATTTTGGCACTAATTAGCACATACCGATTTTACTGAATTTGACCACTTGCAACCTATAAAATTTAGAACGTTTACCTCAATCTCATCATGACTTGCAAACTGCTGATGGCTGTAAATTTCTTGAGATACATAAACAAATAAAAGTCAGATCAGATGGAGCTAGATCCAGACTTTAAAGAGGGTGATATAATTGTTCCCAGCAAAGTGAATTTCACCAAGTTTATTATTTCTTAGATTAAGAAATTTGAAAATAGCTCTCTTTCCTTGGCTGGTGAGAATGAAACAAAATGGCTAAACTAATTTGCTGAATGATGTAACTATGTATATTTGACCTTTGTCAGAGGCATAAGAGATATTGACATACTGTGCTTACTTTCTGGCTCAGCTTAGTGTATCATTTTGTACACATACTTGAGAATGATTCAAACTTAATTGATGTAATGTAGCAGCTTACTGATGTGATTGTAATATAATGTTTGTTTATGTATTGTAGTTTACAAATATAGTTTAAAAACTAATGTCATGATTATTTTTGAAACATTTCATGTGCTGTAATATTCTCTTTACATTTTTAGTAAAATTCTGTAAGTATTTATCATATTTTATTTGTTCTCAATAACTTAATTGACACATTTTGTACGCTGTTCATGCATCCAGCAGTATTTATTTATTTTTCAGTTTTAGAATAATTAAGCTTTGTAGTTCAGAATGGGATATTTCTTACTGTAGATAAAGCAATTTTTTTTTCATTCATTATTTATCAATGTTAGTTTGTTTTTAATAATTTAAAATATGAGAATCTCTGCTTAAAATTTTCCTATGAGTGTTTCATGTCCTTTCCCAGATTAGCATATAATTAATAATGATTGTAGAAAATTAATAAAAAATAGTTAACTCATATAAAATTATTTTTAGGCTTAAGCATATTGACAAAAGATATCTGATCTACAAGCAAAAATTTTTAAAACAAAAATCTATCTTTAGTTTACTTTTAATCACAAGTTAACAAAATATTAATTAGTGACAATAACTAATTTTTAAATTTACAAACAAATATTTGAAATTTAAAGCTTAGAGACAAGAACAGTTTTGAGTCATGCATTAAAAAAAATTATAATTTTAATGCTTAGTGATAAAAACTTCAAACTTGCATGCAAAAATAAAAATTTAATGCTTAGGGTTGAAAATGTCAATCTTGCATACAAAACTATAAATTTAGTACTTAACAACAAAATCCTTTTTGCGACCTTATATTTGAAATTAAAAGAATGTTATATATAATTAAAGTGTTCAAATATTCAAATCATTTGTTCTGGTATTCTCACTCAATGAAATGGAAGCCAATGTTAATTTGTTCCATACTCTCCAACTTTATAGTAGCAAAATGTATTCTTTTGTACAAATTGTGTACCATATAAAATGCTTTTGTTTGAAAAAAATTGTACTTAATTGATACATTTATTTGAAAGTATTAGCATCAAATAGTATAAGACTTAACAACTTTGTTAGTACCACTTTGCTACAATATAACATGATTTATTTTATCTTAAGAAAATTTTATATAAGTTTTATCTTTTAGATTATCAATACTTTAACTTTTCAAAAGCTGTAATAAAAATCAAAAGTTTGATAGTGTACAATTTTAAGCAGAGTTCTCTAATTACTTTGTGATCAATATTGAAGAGAATGTGTTATTGATTTGCGTCTTTATTTTCTTCAGAACCTGGTAGTGCACCCAGAAATGTTCAAGCTAGACCCTTAAGTTCCAGTACTGTTGTTATTCAGTGGGATCCACCTAAAGAACCCAATGGGCAAGTGACGGTAAGTTGTATTATTTTACGAGTTCTGTTTTAATTGAACTTATTATAATAATCACATATCTTGAGAAGAAAATAGATCTTCTTTGAAAACATGTAAATGTTACCTAATTATCTCAAACACAGTGCACGAAAAAAAGAATTTTAAGAAAGTTATATTTTTGAAAATTTATTTCTCAGGAACTATTCAACCGATTTTGCTTAAATATTATATTTTAACATTAAAATTTTCTTTAAACTGATATAAAAATTTGTCTATCTTAAAATTCAAATTTTTTCTCGCCTATTAATAATGGTTATAAATTAGTATTTATTGCATGGATTTATCTTTGAAAAAGAAAGTTTTATAAATAGTGTGCAACAATTTTTGGATACTATTCATTAATTTTGTAGATGGGGTGGAATACACAAAAAGTAAAATTAGCATAATGGGGTGCGTACTTAAGACTGCTCTCTTGATCAAACTATTGAAACCATATTTCCTTGATTGTGGCTACCTCCTGAATGTTGGGGATCACAAATCCAAATCCGTCATATAAAGGTATGACTATTGAGAGAAAGTGTGTCTGATTTCATAGCTTAAAATATCGTCTGCTCAAGTTAATTAACATAGTTGAGATCACCCCCACAAACCATTACGATTGATTCTTAGAATATGAACATCCTATCTTTAGAATATGTCAAAACTTGGATTCTATGAATTTCTCGAAACTTGGTAAACACTACCGGGTTTATTTCGAAAATGAAAAATTTTCCGGACCTCTCCAAGTGGGTTTATATAATATTTTAATTTTGTATATGTTTTCAAGTTATAAAATTTTGAGTTTGAATTTTTGAGCCAATAATGGAGCATAAAATGTATGTTTATTAACAAACACAAAATTTATTCATTACAAAATAAATCTGGTGAAATAATTGTAATTATAATAATTAAATTAATTATATTACTTTTAAATATTACTTGTCATAGTTAAAAAAAAAAGTAATATGAAGTTTACTGAGCTTGCATGTAACCTATTACAACCAAATTTACTTTCCCTGAAATTTTGAAGCAGAGTAAAGGATGATTACAGTCCCAGAGATAATTACTGCTTTATCGTGTAACAAATAACATGAAACAATGGGTGGGGGGGAGGCAATTAATATTTTTTGTGATTTATATTCAGAAAAAATCAAGAATTAACTTAAATTAAGTGAAATACCTTAAATCACATTTCATATTAGTTACTTTTTTCCCTTTTAATTCTTCCTTAATACCTGTTCATATAACAAACTTCGCTATAACAAAATGCAAGTATGAAGTTAGTTATTATAATTGTGTATTTCCTAAACTATATTTATCAAACTTAAGAGATTTTTTAAAGTTATTTTCTATGAGTTGAAGCATTAAAAAAAAATTTAAAAATTCAAACTCTGAATGATTCTTTTAAAAAACTGTATCATTTTATTTACAAATTCATGAACTTTTTTTTTTCATTGTGCACTTCTCTTCTATTAAAAGACTTGTGTATGAAACTATTTTGTCTGAATGAGAGTTAATTCCAAACTTTCTTTTCTAGGGTTATAAAGTGTATTACACTACACGGCCGAATCTTCCCACATCAGCCTGGAATACTCAGCCTGTAGATAATAATCAATTAACTACCATTAGTGACCTTACTCCCCAAACCATATACACCATACGCATCCAAGCCTTTACTAGCCGGGGACCTGGACCCCATTCAGCCCCTGTACAAGTCAAAACTCAACAAGGAGGTATCCCTTTTATTTGTTCTAGACTAAGCTGTACTTCTGTGCCTATCCATAAGATTCTTCCTCAGTTCTAAACTAAATAGAGGGAGAGAATTTAAATAAAAATCAAACAAGCGTTAAAAATTCGCTTGTTGGCATAAACAATATGCTGAATTTATATATGCTGAATAAACTTTTAACTTCAAAAAAAAAAAATTCTAAATTCTTTAAAAATATCAGCTGAATCTGGAAATAGGGTTTTACATCACAATAAAAAATTATTAGCTACAGATTGGAATTTTTTTTTTACACTCAGTTGTAAAAAATAATAAACTACCTCTAAAAATAATCATTTAATAAATGTCTTTAAAGTATTAAGCCAATTTCAATCTAAGAAACATAACCAAATGCAATATATTTGAAACCTCAAAACTTTGGAGTAACATTAGTAGTATATCTTTTCATATAGCTCTAAGAAAGTGGAGAGTGCTACTGTAAACGGCACATAATTTGTACTCACACATATAAATAATTTTTTGTCAATTGGTTTTGCTTTGAACAATGAAACATTTTCCCTGAAAAATAAGGTTTTTGATTTTTTCTGCTCAGCAGATTCGCGGGTCTCAGAGAAATAAAAATTAGCTTTTCTGTATTGGCATAAGAAAAACTTAATTAAAAATTATTAAAAATGTTTCAAATATTAAAATTATGTTGATTACTTTAATTTTGACCAATATTTTTAGTACCCAGCCAACCAAGTAACCTGCGAGTAGTCGCTACATCCTCAACTACTGTACAGGTGACTTGGTCTAAACCCTCCCACTCCGGTGAGAAAGTAATTGGATATGTCCTCTATTGGAACGACACTTTTACACAACAGCAGTATCATCAAATTATTGGAGATCCAACTACTGACTCTTACACATTAAGCGATCTTTACCCTGATACACTTTACTATGTATGGGTAGCTGCACGTTCACGTGAAGGTGAAGGAGCTGCCACGCCACCATCCCAAGTGCGTACGGATCAGTATGGTAAGTCATCCACATCAGGTGCAGTTTATTTCATTTTCTTACTGAAGTTTGCTCAAGTATTAAAAACTTCACTCCCTTATAGCTCTTCTAATTGGAAGTGCCATCTAAATTAATTAGTTTTAGAGCTAGCTTAAATTTTTAGTATTTCCGAAAATGACTTTTTTTTTTCATTCATAATTAGTATTAGTGGTATATATCATCTTGTATTAAATAATCAGCATTTGAGTAATGCTTTGAAAAAAATACATGAATTTATTGTAAAGGTTTTATAACTAGTTTATTTTTTATCATATCAGTTTTATTCAATATTTGAGTACATGTAAGTTTTGTTTTGTTTTTTTGCTATCTGTAAGGTAATGTTTTAAATCTGAAACATTTTTTTAAATTTTATTTTAGTGTCAAACTTTGGATTTTATCATAAATTTTTAACTTCAGTTTTTTTTTAAATTAATATTTTCAATTATATTCAGTATTTGACTATACATAAGTTTTTTTTTCTATGTTTGGTTTCTATCTGTAAGACAATGTTTTAAATCTAAAACATTTTTTTAAATTAATTTCAGTGTCAAATTTTGGGTTTTATCATAAATTTTTAACTTCAGTATTTTTTGAAATTAATATTTTCAATTGTATTCATTATTTCACTTCACATTTTTTTTTTTTTTTTAATGTTTGGTTTTTTACTATCTGTAAAATAATGTTTTAAATCTGAAACATTTTTTGAAAATATTACTTTAGTGTCAAACTTTAGGTTTTATCATGCATTTTTAACTTTAGTATTTTTTGAAATTAAATTCCATTGTATAATAGATTTTTATCTACAACTTTACTTTCATTATCGAATATTTTCTTTATACTTTATTTATTAACTTGTCAAACTAAAAATAAAAAATGCTTGAAACAATTACCTAAAAGCTATTTAATAATTATTGTAATTTTATACTCAATATGTTTCATATATTGGTTTATTGGGAAAAATATATGATAATCTATTGATATGTAATAATTAATATTCCTTTAAATATCCAAGTATAATATTTTCATAACACATAGTTCATTATATTAATATTTACTTGTGTAAACTTCTAAAATGTATAGTCTATTTCAACTTTTCATAATCAAAGCAAATATAAACTTGATAAAAAAAAATGATAAACTAATCAAATGCTGATTATTTATTAAAATAAAACATCATTCATTCATAATCACTATGCATCATTACACATGGCCATTTTAATTTGTAGTAATCAGTCAGAAAGTTGCCAGTTTCCCTTATCCCTTAAGATTAGTACATCTTCTATACTACCCTGCAAACAGCATGAGGGTCGAGTATTAATGCCCAATCCCTCGTACAAAAATACTTTCATTTTGTTATTTTTTTACAGCACGCATGCTTCGCCTAAAAAAAAGTGCTGTTTCTTTTGCCTAGTTTTGTGCCGCGCACTGTGCTGCACATACTATGTTTCTGTTTCTTTCAGTAAACGAAAAAATTTGAGGAGTCACATATCAAGAATGTAAAGAAATGTCTTGTTTGTGAATGTAAAATTTGTGAAATGCACCTTCTGCTAGATATGGTTTCTCATCGTCCTTGGGCTTTTAAATTTTCATTTACTGCAAAAGTAGTTAATCTTTAACAATATTGAATGCAAATAATTGAAATCCATCAGTTCAAACCCTATTGCATTTCTATAATTAACTCTTTAAAACATGCTTGAGATGGAGTCTTTATTAATAATAATACAATCTGTTATTTATCAGTTAATTATAGCTTAACACTTTTAAATGAAGAACCAGGCACTTAAAGTATTCATGTTGTTAATTAGAAAAGCAAATAATTGTGAAGAAAGGAGGGTGAAGGCAGGTTTGAGTCCTCAAAGGACTGTTAGTCCAAAGAGTAGTTGCGTAGTGTGTATATTATTTAATCTGGTACATTTCATTACAAAATATATGAAAAAATGCTATTTTTTATTATGAGTTGAGTTTAATTCTTTTTAGAATATTTTTTAAAAAAATTTATTCAAATTGATAAATTTATGCTTTTTTAAAAGTTTGATGAAGAAAAACAGTTTTTTTTTAAATTTAGTTTTTATGAATGCAATTTAAGGAATAAACCTTTTTTTTTTTCCCCCGATCTGATTTCTGACACCCCAGAACGTAGGGTAATATGTCTTGCAATTTTAAGATCATTGAGGACTTTTCTAAATTATTTTGAGGCTTATAACTATTATGAGGATGGCACCTCTAAAACTGTTCTTCCCTAAAGCTGTGAAAGTCATGCTTAATATTTTTATGTATGCATTTTTTGTAATTAATTCCAGATTAGTTTGTAAATAGATTATACTCTGTGACTGGAAAGTATTTATTATACTTCTTGGTTAATAAAACTAAATTTTTTTCATAATAAATAAGCTGTATTTATTTTTTATTTTTCTTAATGAATGGGTACATTAACAATNGATTAAAAGTAAAATGCTATTTTTTATTATGAATTGAGTTTAATTCTTTTTAGAATATTTTTTTTAAAAATTTATTCAAATTGATAAACTTATGCTTTTTTAAAAGTTTGATGAAGAAAAAAATTTTTTTTAAAAAATTTAGCTTTTATGAATGCAATTTAAGGAGTAAACCTTGTTTTTTTTTCGATCCGATTTCTGACACCCCAGAACGTAGGGTAATATGTCTTGCAATTTTAAGATCCTTGAGGACTTTTCTAAATTATTTTGAGGCTTATAACTATTATGAGGATGGCACCTCTAAAACTGTTCTTCCCAAAAGCTGTGAAAGTCATGCTTAATATTTTTATGTATGCATTTTTTGTAATTAATTCCAGATTAGTTTGTAAATAGATTATACTCTGTGACTGGAAAGTATTTATTATACTTCTTGGTTAATAAAACTAAATTTTTTTCATAATAAATAAGCTGTATTTATTTTTTATTTTTCTTAATGAATGGGTACATTAACAATCAATTATTTAAATAATTTTATTATAAATTATATTAATTTATTATAGATTGTATTATAATAAATTATACTAATTACTTTATATAATTATTTTAAATAATTACTTAGAATAATTAAATTACACAGCTGATTTTTATTTTTTCACGCATTTCATTTATTTAACAGTTTAACTGTCGGAAAATATTGCTACATGCAAACATTTAAATTAAGGTTTTAATTGCAAAAGAAAAGGGAAGTAGCAATTATGCATTATTTAAGTATCCTGTTTTAGATTTGTTTTTTTTTTAAAAATAGTATTCATGAAAGCATTTTTAAAATGTGGTGAAATTCATCAATATTTTTATGGAATATGCAGCATACAATGCAGTTGTTCTATATGCATTAATAAAATGTGCAGTCCATTAAAAATAAATGTATGTTTTGTATCATGTATCTTACGATTTTCAATTACTTCACTGTGTGACCAAGTTTCACTGTGTTACGTTCATATAAACATTTCTTACTCAAAACAAGATTATGAGTCAACATTCTCATATAGCAAAAATCACATTAAAATATTTCATCTTTAAAAATTTTAAAACATAATAGTACTGTGCATTAAAATATAATTTTCAAATTTAAATAAAGGTTGTTCTACACGATAAAATTCCTTTTAAATAAGCTTTATAAAAATACTTTATTAACTGTTTTAATATGAATCGTTGAAATCTGTGACCAAAAAATTTTACAAACTGAAATTTATATTTCCTACAAAATGCTTAATAATGCCTTTAACTGGTTAATGTACTCATGCAATTCTTGGTTAATTCTTTTAGTTTCTCATCATTATAATTTAATTTGTAAGATTTTAATTTTCATGAAAAGTAAAGAAAATCATTGTTAAAATTATCATCAATATGGCCTCTATTTACCAAATGAAAATTTCTGGAATTAAGGAATTAAGTCATAACACTTCTGTATTTTTTTTTCAATCCTCAGTTTATACTTCAAGTCTGTCTTGAAATAGGAAAATAATTTTTTTTTCTTAAATGACATACATAAAAATATTGAGTTGCACTTTTTTTATTTAAATTAGGAACATTATAATTTGTATTTATCATTATTATTGTTTTGCTTTCAAATTTTAGTATATTTTATTATTTATTTTATTTTAATAACTTTTTTGTCATTTACATTATTATTTGTCTCAGAAATCCAATCTAAAATTTTCTTAAATGTTTAATAAAAATGCAATATTATTTTTTTGTAAAAATTAAATATATAAACATTTATAATAAAGTATATTATTTATTTAAAAATTAGTATTAAATCAAGCAATGTCATAATTACAATAGATTGCAATTTTGAGACTAATTACGAATATCAACAATATTTACATAGTCTTTACTGAATAGTCTTATGATTTGTGAATTTATTTATAAAAGATTTTTAAAGAATGGAAAATAAATAGAACTTAGAAGAATTTCGAAGTATGTATATTGTTTTTTATTATTGCATTTTAAAGAACAGCTTATCAAAGTCGCATGAAAATTAATATCAATTTCTTTTTAATGTTCGATATAAATTTTATTTTTTAAACGATTAAATTACTGTTTTTTATTTGAATACACTGACTTGAATTGAATGCAGCCTAAATTTTATCAAAAAGCCTGTTCCTCATTATTTGTGTTTTGAAATCTGTTTTAAAAACCAAAACATCTATTTTTAAGTATAAAACTTTATATAGTGATTAACATATTGACTTTGCCAATTGGATTTGTTACTTACTACTAATGTTTCTATTTTTTTTTACAAATATCAGAATAAAATCGTGTATCTCCTAAATATGTATGGAAAAAAATCTTGTAACTTTTTTGTGTTTCTTTTAAAAGTAAGCCGTGAACTCAAAAGGTTATGTAAATATTTTTGAAATTTTATGTTTATTTTTTTAGTAGTCTTAGCTCTAAGTTTGCATTTTATGTTATTATCTTTTTGTTTTCTAAATTGCTCTATTTTTATTCTTATTTTGTTTTGCTTTTCTGTTGGAAAAAGAATCATTAATTAACATCTTTTGAAAGAAATTCTGAGAAAATTATCATGCATAAATTTAAAAAGTAAATTTTTCAAACATTGATTAGTTTATAATCTTACTTATTATTTCTTTTTCCAACAGAATTGCTTTTTTTTATTTTGAATTTATTTTGGTTCTGCTTGCTTTACTAAGTCATTAAATTTATTATTTAAATGTATAATTTTAAATTGCCATATCATTTTCCTGCACTTGATATTATTTTAATATTTTCACGGTTTCATGGAGCTCCCCTCTCATGCATTAGAACCTGTATAGTTTTGCATATGAATTTTTTAATGCTTTTTTTATTTTTCATTTCGTAGAACAGCAGTCAAGTAGCATTATAAAACTTGTATTATTATTTTTTGTATTTATTTTTCCAAATCTACTCAATAATATCCATCTACATGAAAGTTTTTAAAAAAATTTTGTAAAACCTGTACGTTTCCATAGTAGAAATTTAAACAAAAAGAATTCAAATGGTATCTTTTTAGGCAGATGTAAATTTTTACTAAATGGTTATGTGTTTTGTATTGTAAGCTACAAATAAATGGTTTAATTCTAATATTTAAGTTTGCACCAAATATGCTCTGAGTTTGAAGTTGATAGGTGTTAACCTTCTGTGAAAGTATTCAAAGATATGTCAAGTTCGGGAACATGATTGACAAAGAGAGAGAACCAAAAAAAAGTATATCCCACCACTGCACATGTCGCACACTTCCCTCCTTCCCTCCCTTCCCTACAGTGCCTGGCGCCCCTCCCCAAGACGTTCGCGGCTCTGCCGTTAACTCCCGCTCCCTACACATCACTTGGAAACCCCCGCCGCGAGAGCAACAGAATGGTGCCATCACGTACTATAAAGTCAAGTATGCCAAAGTGGACAATGGAGATGACCTGGCAAAGGCCCAGGAGATCCGCGTTGAAGCTGACCAGCTGTCTTATCAAATTGGAGCATTGGATAAGTGGACAGAGTATAGAATATGGGTCATTGCTGGAACAGAAGTGGGTGATGGGCCTCCGTCCATGCCCATAATTGTACGCACTGATGAAGATGGTATGTATGACACTACCTTTCCCTGATTCCTGTATGATTCACATTAATATATCCTTATTGCATGCTTAATAAGAGTTTCTTAGGTACCTTGGTATCTAAATTATTGTATGAAATGAATTGTTGCTTTAAATGCTTAACGCTTTCTATGCTGAAGAGCTTAGCCGATTAAAAGTCCCTGGCCAAGACTTTTAATTGGTGAGGCTGGCTTATTTCTTCTCTTGCTTTTGGGACTTAACCAGGGTGTCTTTGGAAATTCTCTTGATGTATCTAACCCCTGCATTTATAAACTGTCTCTTCCCATTTGCTGTTGAGCCAGTACTAACTGCATGATTCTGCATGTTTTCCTACAGGACATGATCAGCTGGCAACTCTCTCCTATCCTTATTTACTTGTTTTTTTCTTCATCACTGTTTACAAAATAAAATTGCTCTTCTATGTTTATTTCCTTCAATTCTGCTGTTCTGAATGTTTATGATATTTCACTGATTACTAACACTGTTTTGCTGTTTATTAATGTATTATATGAATTCATGTATATATTGAAATTTCATCTTGTTTTGTTTTTCATATTTTATGCATATATTGTTGTAAATATCTGAACTGAGTTTTAAAAACATCTGTTTTGATGATATTGTTTTCTTTATCAAAATTCTCATTGATTAATGTATTATCAAGTTAAAGAAAAAATTTTATTTGCAAACCTTTGGATTGAGTGGTAAGTTAGAAGACAGCTTTTTTTTTTTTTTTTTTTTTTTGCTGCTATGCAGTTTTACAATTTTAACAATGTCATTTATCTGATTTTATAAAACAAATGATTATATATTCGAAAATGCATAATATTTTCTACCAACTTCTTTCCAAATTCTAGTAGCTCCTATTGGATAGGTACATTTTTTTATCTAAACTTTATTTTTCATTTTTATTTCTATAAGAATTATAAGAACTAGTGGGGATCCCTATAGATCTTATATTCAATTAAAAATTATATGTATCCAAAGGAATGTATGCTTTATTCTCGTTATTTTATGCATATTGTTTCCTATTTTGATTCAAAATTCTTGTTCCTTATTATTTGCCTGATATTTTTCCGTTCATAATTTTAAACAAGGTTGTTCTATCTTCTTTAGTGCCTGGTGAACCCAGGGCAGTAAAAGTAGTCGCTATTAATAGCACCACCATAACTGTACGCTGGAAGCCACCCGCTAATAAAGACCGTAACGGCTTGATACGAGGCTACCAAATTCACGTACAGGAAGTGACCAACGAAGGAGACTTTGTGAATGAGCCGAAGAGATATGATGTAGCCGATGAAAATGCAGAGGAATATAATGTCACCAAACTACAACCTGAAACATTGTATGCTGTGCAAGTTGCTGCTGTCACGAGGAAAGGAGATGGAACTCGCAGCAAGGTCAAAACACAAAAAACTTCGGGTGGAGGTAAATAAAGTAAAACCTTTATCTGTTTTTGTTTTTTTATAATGGATAGTTTACTGAATGTAAACAATAACAAGCTTCCTAAAACTGAAAAAAATTTAGAAAACTTCCGATGTATCCCTCCGCTTATGTTATGCTTTTCATAAAAGCTTTCTGTAATTTATGAATTCTAAAAGGTCGTAAACCTTAATTAAAATTAGGATAATTAATATTGCAATATAAATAAAGTGTAAGATTTGCTAAGTTTTTAGTGAAATCCCTTATTTGGCTATATTTGTGTAAAATGTCACCATTAGTTATATTTTTGGTTGCATCTTTCAGGGCATAGCATGCTTGCGTAGTCTTCTGAATTCTTATTTGTTTGCTTCGTTGAAATTTAAAAAACATGTTATATTGTAAACACTACAAGTATAATAATATTTTATGTCTCCCTTTTTCAAGCTTAGGCGTAAAAATTAATTGGAAGTAGTTAACTGGAAGTCTTACGACGAATTTTGTCCCTGAGCTCCATCTGTGCTTAGCTTTACACGGTCAAACATTCCATAAAGATAACTGCTTTGTATCAATATAAAAAAGTGTGTAACATATCTTTTTACTGATATTCATGAGAGAAAGTATGAATTTTATTATCAATTGACCAACCAAGCATTTAACATTTTTGTGTAGATATTTTTTCTCAAAACACACCTTTTGCTTTGAAAAACATAGGGAAAGCTGGTTTTCTAGCTGAAAAAGCAATATTTCAGTCAATTAAATTAGTTGCTGAGCCAGTAAGGTTCTCTGAGATATGAATTCTTTTTTCAAAATTGAAGAATTTAGTTTTGTGAATGTTTTTATTGGGAAAATGTTATTTTGTTTAATTAAATTGTTTCTTTATAAAAATCAACATTGATTTGTAAAACATAACATAACCATTAATTTTAAATAAATAATTATATATTATTATTATTATCATAGTCTTGTAAAATTTGCAGTGAAATATAGTTACAATTATTTTATGTTAAATTCTGTCAAAATATGAGTTTGACAACAAAAAAAAGTTGTTTTTTACATCAACGTATTGAATAAAAACAATATTTTTATGTAAAAATATATATGCTATGTTTAACAAAGAGTATTGTGGAACAAAGAGTATCGTTTTAAGAAACTTCAATACCCCAAGTTTTTTTTCCTTTTTCTGTTGAAGGAACACTTAATAAATTAATAGCTTGTGTTAAAAACCCTTTTTTCTTGTTAAAGTTCAAACCCTAATAGCATCTTCTGCCTAGCGTCGAATCTGTAGATATCTTTCAAAACTTCTTAACCCCTTATTCAATGCATAATGTCTGGGAATGATAGAACGTATATTTTAATTCAATAATTATCTACAATTATTGTAAAATTAAGTTGCCTTATACCCTGAGGTTCAAATGAGACAATTCAATTGGGTTACCGTTTTCTATTTATTAAAACAAAGGACTCCATCTCAAAAAAGAATTTAAAAAATTACTTTGAACAATTTGTATTTAAAATACAGTGGAGCTTCGTTTATACGACGTTTACATTTATACGACGTTTTAGTGTGGTCCCAAATCATTCCTATTCATTTTAATGTAAAAATATATCGTTTATAGAGTTAGTTTCAGTTTTAGAAGTAAAAATCGATTATACGACATTATCGTTTATACGACGTTTTTCGGTGGTCCCTTCGGCGTCGTGTAAACGATGCTCCACTGTATATGAAAACTTTTTCTTTTTTTTTGACAAAANTATTATGTTGTATTTATGAATTCTAAACGGTTGTAAACCTTAATTAAAAATTAGGAAAATTAATATTGCAATGTAAATAAAGTGTAAGGTTTGCCATGTTTTGAGTGTTATCCCTTATTTGGCTACATCTGTGTAAAATATCACTGTTAGTTATTTTTTTGGGTTGCATCTTGCAAAGTCTTCCAAATGAATTCTAAAAGGTTGTAACCTTTTAGAATTTATTTGTATTATGTTGTATTTATGAATTCTAAACGGTTGTAAACCTTAATTAAAAATTAGGAAAATTAATATTGCAATGTAAATAAAGTGTAAGGTTTGCCATGTTTTGAGTGTTATCCCTTATTTGGCTACATCTGTGTAAAATATCACTGTTAGTTATTTTTTTGGGTTGCATCTTGCAAAGTCTTCCAAATGAATTCTAAAAGGTTGTAACCTTTTAGAATTTATTTGTATTATGTTGTATTTATGAATTCTAAACGGTTGTAAACCTTAATTAAAAATTAGGAAAATTAATATTGCAATGTAAATAAAGTGTAAGGTTTGCCATGTTTTGAGTGTTATCCCTTATTTGGCTACATCTGTGTAAAATATCACTGTTAGTTATTTTTTTGGGTTGCATCTTGCAAAGTCTTCCAAATGAATTCTAAAAGGTTGTAACCTTTTAGAATTTATTTGTATTATGTTGTATTTATGAATTCTAAACGGTTGTAAACCTTAATTAAAAATTAGGAAAATTAATATTGCAATGTAAATAAAGTGTAAGGTTTGCCATGTTTTGAGTGTTATCCCTTATTTGGCTACATCTGTGTAAAATATCACTGTTAGTTATTTTTTTGGGTTGCATCTTGCAAAGTCTTCCAAATGAATTCTAAAAGGTTGTAACCTTTTAGAATTTATTTGTATTATGTTGTATTTATGAATTCTAAACGGTTGTAAACCTTAATTAAAAATTAGGAAAATTAATATTGCAATGTAAATAAAGTGTAAGGTTTGCCATGTTTTGAGTGTTATCCCTTATTTGGCTACATCTGTGTAAAATATCACTGTTAGTTATTTTTTTGGGTTGCATCTTGCAAAGTCTTCCAAATGAATTCTAAAAGGTTGTAACCTTTTAGAATTTATTTGTATTATGTTGTATTTATGAATTCTAAACGGTTGTAAACCTTAATTAAAAATTAGGAAAATTAATATTGCAATGTAAATAAAGTGTAAGGTTTGCCATGTTTTGAGTGTTATCCCTTATTTGGCTACATCTGTGTAAAATATCACTGTTAGTTATTTTTTTGGGTTGCATCTTGCAAAGTCTTCCAAATGAATTCTAAAAGGTTGTAACCTTTTAGAATTTATTTGTATTATGTTGTATTTATGAATTCTAAACGGTTGTAAACCTTAATTAAAAATTAGGAAAATTAATATTGCAATGTAAATAAAGTGTAAGGTTTGCCATGTTTTGAGTGTTCTCCCTTATTTGGCTACATCTGTGTAAAATATCACTGTTAGTTATTTTTTTGGGTTGCATCTTGCAAAGTCTTCCAAATGAATTCTTAAAGGTTGTAACCTTTTAGAATTCATTTGTATTATGCTGTATTTATGAGGTTGTATTTATGAATTCTAAAAGGTTGTAAACCTTAATTAAAAATTAGGAAAATTAATATTACAATGTAAATAAAGTGTAAGGTTTGCCATGTTTTGAGTGTTCTCCCTTATTCGGCTACATCTGTGTAAAATATCACTGTTAGTTATTTTTTTGGGTTGCATCTTGCGAAGTCTTCCAAATTTTTATTTGTTTGCTTCATTGAAACTTAAACGCTTTATATTCTAAACACTACAAGTATAATAATATTTGATGTCTCTCTTTTTCAAGCTTAAGCATAAAAATCAATTGAAAGTAGTAACCCAGATGTCTTTCGATGAATTTTATCCCCTAGCGCCATCTGTGCTTAGCTTTACGCAGTCAACCATCCAAAAAGACAATTAATTATTTTGTATCTATATTAAAAAGTGGAAACATGCCTTTTTACTGATGTTCATGTGTAAAAGTATAAATTTTATTATCTAAAATCTTATTTGACCAACCATACTTTTAACACTTTTGTGTAGATATTTTTTCTTAAAACATACCTTTTACTTTGAAAAACATAGAGAAAACTGGTTTTCTAGCTGAAAAAGCAATATTTCAATCAGTTAAATTAGTAGCTGAGCCAGTTAGGTTCTCTGTGATAAAAATTCTCTCCTGGAATTCCTCTTCTTTTCTTCTTTTTTTTTTTTTTTTCAAAATTAAAGAATTTAGTTTTGTGAATATTTTTAATGTAAAATATTATTTTGTTTGATTAAATTATTTTTTTTTTAAAATTCAGCATTGATTTGTAAGACATAGAATAGTAGTTTTAAATAAATAATATTATATTATAGTCTTGTAAAATTTGCAGTGAAATATAGTTACAATTAAATTTATGTTAAATGCTGTCAAAATATGAGTTTAACAGAAGAAAAAAAATAACAACAATTACATTTCATTTCTTGCTTAAAATTGTTTTTTACATCAACATATTGAATAAAGACAATATTTTTATGTAAAAATATATATGCTATATTTAACAAAGAGTATTGTGGGATTTTGTTTTAAAGAACTTCAATACCCCAAGTTTTTTTTTCCTTTTTCTGTTGTAAGAACACTTAGTAAATTAATAGCTTGTATCAAAAACCCTTTTTTCTTGTTAAAGTTCAAAACCTAATAGAACCTACTGCCTAGCATCAAATCTGTAGATATCTTTCAAAACTTCTGAACCCCTTATTAAATACATAATGTCTGGACATGATAGAATGTATATTTTAATTCAATAACTTGTTCAATAATTATCCACAATTATTGTAAAATTAAGTTGGCTTATGCCCTGAAGTCCAAATGAGACAACTCAATTCGGTTACCGTTTTCTGTTTATTAAAGCAAAGATATCCATCCCGAAAAAGAAGACTAGAAAAATTATTTTGAACAGTTTGTATTTAAAATATATGGAAACTTTTTTTTCCTCATAAATAACTGTATTTATGATGATACTCATTATGTGTGTTAAGCATAATCATACCCTCCATTTACTAAGGGAATTTTGTAGTTTTAGAAAATAGTATTCCTAGTGATGGCAAAGGGAGAATATTAATATTTTAATAGAGTAGAAACATAGGAATTTCGTTAGTACATATAAATAATTTAGATCTATGTATAAGAGGTCAAATAAATGAATGATGAAATGGTGATGGTCATAGCTTTGGTCAAACCTTTATAAAATTTATATACTGGGTTGTTACGATTTTACCTAACCTGAAAAAACCCAAGTGGGGTTTTTCATTATTGCATTTTATTATTAATACATCAGCTTTAGATATTAAGTTTTCAACAGAATAAAATACAAACTACATACATTGAAGTATTTATATTTAAAAATTTGAAATACTAATTCACAATACAATTAAAACTACTGTTATAACAAAATACAATATGTAACATTTTTAGAATCACAACTCGATGAAAGGGAATAGTACTTTATTTATAAAAATGTATTTAAATCCCTTTTCTGCGTGTCTTACTACATAAAGTTTCAGGTGATACTTTTAAAACGTTGCACCTTGCACTTTTTTAACTGGTGTAATACTTGTTCAATTTCTTGTTATCATTTATTAATTTATGCAAAAACCTACATGAAAATAATCATTTTTTGGATATTTTAGTATTGGATAATTGCAGTTAACTGAATTAAATTTGGTAGCTTTATTGCAGTGAAATATTAATAAAAAAATAAATAAAGTGCAGAATTAAAAAGACTTTTAGGAAAAATATCTTTAGAAAATTTTTTAACTCATCTTGCATAACATTCTCAGTGAATTTTTTTTATTTAAAATCCCTGTAATACTTTACTATATTAGTTATAAAACTTTTTTGTGCACACACACAAAAAATATACAGCAATTGTTAAGTGTTGTTGCATTACAAACAGTAATAGGTTAACTAAAATCAGTTATAATTTATTAACATTTTGTTATGTTTTTTTGTTAAAAAATAGTTAAAATTTGTGTAAATAATTTTTTTTTTTTATGAAATTTTAAAAATAAATTCACTGAACTTGAAAACACACACAAAAAAATATATACACCTACATTTAGGAGTCGTTACAATACACTGTACAGTATCATATATATAGTATAATATATTGGTCACATAATTAAAATCTGTTTTAGTTTATTATCTAAAACAGATTATGTTTGCTATTATAAAATTTGTTTCAATCAACTATTAAAAAATAATTAAATTTTCTTTCAGTCTCAACAATTAAAAAATAAATCATGAAATAACTCGTTATTTACTTTATTACAGTGCCTACTCGTCCAGAACTTACTGCTCAACTCATTCAAGAAGAACCTAATCTTGTTGCTCAAATTCAATGGTCCCGCCCAACCAACATTTATGGCCAGTTGATGAGCTACAAATTACGCTTTGGCCGCTCAGATACACAGCAGATGGATGAGAGAACAATTAATCCTGGCGATCAAATACATCAGATTCCCAATTTAGGTATATACTCAACTATTATTTTAAGATATATAGTATATTTGTAACTTTTCTTGTTTAATTGTGAGAGTTTTATTTTTTATACTACATTTCTGTTGTTATTTTGAAGTCAACTGTTATGCAATGTGTTTGATTTCAAAACAATGATTTTACAAAAGGGATTTTTAAAAAACTTTTTCTCAGAAATTTGGATTATACTTCTTGAAGAGAGAAAAAAATGTGTTTGATTATTTTATTGCCATTGTTTAACCTATTTTGTATAAGCAATACTGTTGTAAAAATGCCACTTTTTGTAGTGATTAAAGTAAAAGGTACATTTAAGAAAAATATGAATAGATATTTATATTTAGCCTATTTTATATTTTCTAATATTGCCTAGCTCTTTGGTTTTAAAAAATATTGCATTTAATCAATTTGTGATCAAAATTTTGTATTATTAATATTTTGTGCTTCACACGGTTGTCTCGTTTGAATGAGATAAATTTCCTGAATAAACGAATCGAGTTGCCAGATTTTATCCCTGTTTGAAAAAAAAATCTTGAGGGTGTTGGTTCTTAATAAGTTAAAGCATTTTAATCTTTGTGAAATTCAGTTGATAGTTAGTTGGTATCCTTCCAAAATAATGGGTCATCAGTTTCTGATTATAAAAAAAAGTATTAAACCTCATTTTTTGTTGCGCATTTTTTAGAAGAAAAAAAAATTTTAATATTCCTTCATTAATTTTCATTAAGTTTTAGAAACAATAAAAAAATTATGCTTGAAGTGGAAAGTCTTTTTAAGCATGACAATTTTTATTTTCAATCAGAATTTCACAAAATAATTAAGAAATAAGCTTTGAACTTATGTAGCGAAAAATTTTAAAAGAAAAGACATTGAACTGGTTTGAAAGCCAAGTACCTCATAAGTATTTTAAAATTGCATTAAATAGTCATAATAAATAATGAGTGTCTTTGTTTTACAAAACAAAAATGTGAACTATATGATGGGTAAAATGTCTAGCTTGCTTAGAAATATATCAAAAATCATGAAAAATCTAAGAAACTATTCTTTAACTTTACTTATTTCTTCAATTTATGATGAGTTTCCTTTGTTAATATAATTTAAAGTATCAAAACAAATTCTTTAATGTTTAACCTAAGAAGTTATAAATTACATAAAATACTAGCTATCTTTTTTGTTAAATTTTAATATTTATGTTTTACTTTCAGATCGAGGAGCCCGATATGAGTTTTATTTGTCAGGGAAAAATAATGTTGGCTGGGGCCAAGAAGCTTATACATATCTTGATACTCCTGAAGGAGGTAAACTATCAAAATATTATTTATAATTTTAAATAGTGTACATAATTTATTATTACTTTTTCCTTTGTTTCGTAATTAGAAAGTTTTGTTGAAGAACATATTGTGAAAATGCTCACATTTTGTGTAGCTTCAAAAATGTTCATTGTCAGCAAATATAAAAAATGTTCATTGTCATCACTTCATTCCCCTGAATCTTTAAATTAGGTTCCTTTTTGGTAAGGAATGATGTTTAAAAAGTAATTTCTTGATGTTATTTAAAATTTTCTAAATTGTCTTCATTAAAATGTGCAGTTTAAAATATTGAGAAAACATGGAAAGTAATAGAATAAAGATTTAGTTTATTTTCTATTTTTTGCTTGATATGTTTTATTTCATAGTATATTTCTTACTTTATATATTCTATTTTCGTTTCAATTTTTTGGGTGCTCCTTACCCGCACACTATTGTATTGATATATTTTGCTTCAACTGTATTAGTATAATATTAGAAAACACTCCTTTTTGATTATATAATCACGTGAACTGATGACGAGATTATATCTTTTTATTATTTTGTTTTCTAACTTTTTAATTTTTTATTTTATTTTAATAATTTTTCTTCTTCTCTTTTCATTGATCTTTATTGTATTATTTTTCATGTTTTCTTGCTATTTTGAACTTATTTTATGAGTTCTATGTACTTGCAGTTTATGCGCAATAAACAAACCTTATTATTTTCCTTTGTTTTTCTCTCTTTTGTCTTTTTTGTGCTATATATATACATTTGCATCAGGGGTCTGTTTAGAAGAAATTTGGATCCGTTAACAAACACTTCACAAAATAATTTATCTTTTAATCGAACCATTCACAAATTTGGTTCTATCATTATTGTTTTGTTAATAGAATAAACCCTTCCCAAGGGGGGGGGGAGAAAGACGGTATGAGACAAACTAAGTTTCTCTAAGTTTAAATTCCAAATGTACTATTCTAAGAAAATATTTCGACTTTTGCAAACATCGTGTGCACATTCTTATTAATATTAAGTCGTAATTTTTTTGTAATAAATAATTGATCGATGTATATTTAATCATAAAATTAATTAATGGAATATTATGTAAATAAAAATCTATTTCTGGGTATTTTTTATATAAAATATTATAAATTTAAGAATTGTTTAAGTTTACTTAATGCGTAACTCATTAAAAGTGGTACACTACTAAGTTGTGCTATTTAAAATATGTCAATTGAAATTATTAAAAATGCGAGTGATTTTGTTTCCATTATTTGTCCGAAATGAATATTCTGTGTTGAGCAGTATAGGCTAAATACCAAATAACAGGACCCTATTTTCAAAAATTCACAAAAGCAGGACCCTGGTTGAAGGAATGTGACTTAACACTTATTTTATATTCACAAATTATGAATAGTTTTTTCACAATTTTACAGAAACAGGACCTTCCATAAAATGTCTGGACAGACCCCTGATTTGCATTAAACTTAGTTTATGTCATTATTTGTTTTCATGATCTTAAAATCATAATTCCATTCAAGTCTGATTCAAAGTCTTAATATTAAACTGTACATGCATTGAGTCATACTTTTAATACTTATAAATTTGTTTTGTTTTATCTTAGTACCAACTGCACCACCTCAAAACTTGTCCCGAAGATTACAGAGTCCAACTGGTGTTGTAATTACATGGTCACCACCTGTTCAGCAATTCAGAAATGGACGTATTACTCATTACAGTATAAAGTTCCACAAAGTATCTGATGGTTCAGTTACAGAACGCAATACAACTGAAACACGCATGGTCTTTAGGTTAGTTAAATGATATTTATGTACTGCGCTATTTTAATAAAATTTCTTATGTCTTGATGTGGTTATTTAACATTATGTTGTTTAATATTTTACTTGCTTATTTATGCTTATTCTAAAAAAATGTACATTTATTTTGAAAGAGATTAGTTTTTGTTTTAGTATAAATTAATTCATATAGAAGGAATTTATTCATTGTTTGATAACTATAGATTTAATTTCAAAGTTGAAATTAGTTTAAATATTATTTTTGTTTCAAAGTACAATTAAGACTGATAGAATTTTATCATATTTTAATCAAACCCAGTAAAAAAAAAACTTTATTAAAAAAAGAACTATGCCTTTTGGTATATGTCAAAAAATGTCTATTAATTCCGAGTATTTCTTTTTCATTTGAAAATAAAAAAATTTCTCCTGATGAATATTCTAATTTAAGAACTTAAAAATTTATTTATATACAGTAAGATACCCTTACTTTACACTTTGGATAGATTATTTTCAAATTATATTTTATAATTAAAATATTAAATAAATTTTTTACAGTAATTTGGATGAAAATACTGAATATGCTTTCCAAGTATGTGCGTACACTAGTAAAGGGGGTGGTCCCTGGAGCCCCCGAATGACTGTTCAGACTCCGGGGGATGTACCGCCAGCCCCCACAAGTGTTCAAGCAGTTGCAACATCTGATCAGTCTGTTGAAGTATGGTGGGATCAAGTTCCATATTTTCTGGACATTTTAGGATATGAAGTAAGTTAAATTAATTAAATAGAATATTATAATTCACATTAATTTAATTATTCACGCTATGAACTTTTTTTTTCTGATCATAAAATTGAATGCCTTTTTTTTAATTCAGAAACAAATAAAAAGGAATTATCGTAGAAATATAAAGTTATTTCAAGTTTTAATTCTCAACTTTTTCTGTCAGGTTTTGTACATTCAGGATCCTGTAGAAGATTTAGACAAGTGGAGTAACAAAAGTGTCCCGTTAACATGGTCTGCAGAATTAACAGGGTTAGACAGTCACGCAATGTATGCCATTCGAGTTGCAGCCAGATCCCGTCAGAACCTGGGTAGACTGTCAGAATTGATCACAGTTCGAGTGGCTCCAACAGGTAAACTATTGTTCTCTTTATTATTCTTTTTACCATAAATTTATAAATGTTGCAATTAAGAAAGTCTGTAATTTTATTATTTTTTAGCTGTCTTAATTAATTAATTTTGTTTCTAAATTCGAATGTTTTGTTGATTCTAAATTTATTTCAGTATGAAGATCCTATTTTTAATTGATAGTTTACTAAACTTTTAATTTACTGTTGACTTTTACCCAATGTTTTCTAGATGTCCCTACCTGATTATTTTAGTATGTTTTTTTTTTTTCATATTTATTCATTTTACAATTTTTTTAATCTGTATTTATTCCATTATGAAGATTTTAGTTATTGAAACTTAACTGTCCTTAAGTTAATAATTACTGAACTTTAACTTACTATTGATTATGTCCTTTACTTTCTGAATGTCCCTATTCAAATAATTTAGTCTGTATTTTGCATATTTATGAATTTTAATATTTCATTTAGTTTATATTTATTTCATCTCAATGATTTTAGTTATTGAAACCTAATGTTTTTAAATTAATAATCACTTTACTTTAAGTCACTATATATTATGTCCTTTTGTTTCTAGATGTCCCTACTCAATTAAGAGCACAAGATGTAACTACTCATAGTATGGCTCTGTCTTGGAGAAGACCATCAAAGTTAGATCCTATAAAATACAAAGTAAATAATCATTCCATTTATTATATAAGCAACTGTACTTTTAGATATCAAAATTCAATCTCATCAAGTACAAATAATTAATTGTTATAGTTCTGAATAGTGTAACTATATTTTAATAATACAGATTTTTAAACTAAACAATTATTATAGAAATTCTGTTATAAGGGAAAAAGTCATTCATAATCATTTTACTCATTAAAAAGAAAACAAAATGTTAGTGGTGTAGGATGACTATGTGCTGATTTCTCTACTTTTTTTCCACTCTTCAGTTATACTTTGCTCATTTCAGTTATTTATTGTTTATCATTTTACTTATCTGACTAAGTACGGTAATTGTAACCGTTACAAAATTAGTAATTTTACCTATAATTCTTTTTTATCTAGAAATAAAATATGCTCATTAGAAAAGTAAACTAAATGTTAGTGGTATAAGATGATTGAGTGCTGACTTCTCTATTTTTCTTGCCATTCTTTAGTTATATTTTGCTCTTTTTTTTTCAGTACTTATTATTTTACTCATCTAGCAAAGTAAGACAATTGTTACAGTCGCACAAAAATTAGCTAATTTGATTACTAATTAGTAATTTTACCTATAATTTTTTTCATTAAGAAATAAATTCAAATGCTTCTTTTCATAGTTTGGAAAAACAAAAAATTTTTTGTACTGACCTTGCAAAAATATTAGCTTATAACATCTTTATTAGTCATATTGTTTGTTACATGCTAGTACAGTAGGGAACCGATTATCCGGAACGATCGGGACCATCGCTATTCCGGATAACTGATTTTTCCAGTTTTCTGAATCGCTACAAAAAGCCGGTTTTTTTATTGTTAAACCCAACTAAAAAAAAAAAGAAATTATTTGGAAAAAAATAAGAAAAAACGATGAAGTAATACTCTAATTATTATTTCCAAAATGATGGTAAGGTAAACATCTTTTAAAAAAGAAAGAAAAATCCTGAAATCTTATNAACCCAACTAAAAAAAAAAAAGAAATTATTTGGAAAAAATAAGAAAAAACGATGAAGTAATACTCTAATTATTATTTCCAAAATGATGGTAAGGTAAACATCTTTTAAAAAAGAAAGAAAAATCCTGAAATCTTATGAGGAAAAAAACATTTTTTTAAAAAAATGGCGGGAAAATTTATCCGATTTTTATTTTCTGATTTCCGGATAACGGGTTCTGTACTGTATATCAAATTGTATTTTTTTTCTTTTAGTGTAATTAATAATTGTTTTACTGTAAACTGTCTATTTAATTATACCTTCCAGAAATATTATTTTCAACTAATGCATTTTCACTTGACTATTATTTTTTTAATTTATTTAATTTGTAATGAAAATAAGTTCTTAACATTATATAAGTTAGAAGAAAATTACTGTTATAGCTTCTTAACTATTTCAACAAGTGTAGCTCTTTAAATACTACTTCTTATTTGCTAAAATAAGTGACATATAACTTCTTTATTTTTCTTATTGTTTGTTACATGTTAGTATACCAACTTGCTATTTTTTTTTTTCGTGTAGTCAGTAATTAATTTATTGTAAAACTGTCAATTTATTATACCTTCAGAAATAATTATCAACTTTGAACATGACTATTATTTTTTAATGTTTTTTTTTCTTATTTATTTTGTAATAAAAGCAAGTTCCGAATGTTTTATAAGTAGGAAGAAAATATCTGTTCTTAACTTAGTAAACTTATCGCTTACTTCTTATTCCATAGATCTCTTATGGTGCTCATAAAGAGTTTTATGACAGTCAAGGTCATTTGCAAAAGTTACCCATTCCTACTCAGACTGTATTTGTGGAGGCTGATGTTACAGAATATTCAGTGGATAACTTGATGCCATTTACCAGTTACCAAGTGAACATCACTGCGATACCACCTGACGAGAGCTTCCGCCCTCCTGCGAAAATCACTGTTACTACTGCCATGGCTGGTAAGATGCTTCAAATTTGTTTAGTGTTTCGAATAGTATAATATAAATCATTTTAATGTTTTATAAATTTTTCAATGATGACACTATGAAACGACTTTTTTTCTGTTGCATGAGCTTTTTCAACTGATCTTAGATAATTTTGTATTGCTGATTTCAAATCTGCAATCGGTTTCTCTCTCCAAGCTACAGTTATTTTCTTAAAATGACATTTTTAGTCTATATTTTATCAAAATTTACAAGTTTGAAAACATTATATATACATTATATATAACAGGAGGACAAACTTCTAGCAGAGTTAGGACACATCATCAGGATTAGAATTGTATAAGGACCCATAACTGGAAGTGTCGTCATATGACACTAGGAGACGCTTCCCTATTATTAACTGTTTCTTTGTATGCTTCTGAACAGGTCATAATAGGAAAGCACCCCTATCTTCGTGTGACGAATGTAACAGTTATAAGTTCCTATGCAATTTTAATCCTGATTATATGCCCTTACTCCTCTAGAAGTTTTTGCAACATTTATGCACCCCCACGTTATATATAATGCTTTTAACTTGTACATTTTTAAAAAAATTCTGAGCAAAACTAATTTTAGATTTAAAATCTCCACACCCCAATTAGGCAAGATCAAGAACAACAAAATACAACAAGAACAAAAATACAACAAAAAATTTATTCCTTAGTGTTATGCTCAAATTTTTAATATAGTTGATAAAATTTGTTAAAGATGCAAATGAATTTGCTCAAATATTACATAAGTATATCTTTGTACATTTTTGGTGATTTTGCCTTGTCAGCAAACAGACAAAAAAATCACTATGTCCTTTTTAATTTAATTTAAAAAATTACCATTGATTTTTTGACGTTGAAGATTTATTTTGAGAATTGCATAAGCCTATGGTCATAAGTAAATTAATAATAAGTTGTTTTTTTCAATAAATAATTTTCTGGTATGAAAGATCTGGATTTGGTAGGAACCTTTAAAAGTCATAACATAAAAAAAGAGCTGTGCTTTCTGAGTGTCCCTTAACTTCAGAAGTTATAAAATTAATTGATGAAAGAAATGTACTATAAACCTGTTGAAATTACTTCCATCTTGAATACTTTTCATTTTCTAAAATTTTAAAGTTAAACTTAATTAATTCTCCCATACACTAAAAATTGGATGAGTTTGTTCACATAGTTTCTTATTATAATTAACATTTAGTAGTTAATTAAAACAAAAGTTGCATGTTGAATTAAATATTTAACTTTGTGGAAAAAATTCAATTGTATAACAGAAAATATCTTTCAATTCTTTTATTTATAACTGTTGGTAGTCAGTCTTTTCTTTAAATTACTGCCGACCCTGTTCAATGAAAGATCTCTGGTCACAGATCAGTTTATTGGATAATGAAAGGTAGTTTTATCCTCTGTACCATATTTGTAAGGTATCTCCAAATCTTAATCAGTACAGAAAGACAAAATAAGTAATTAATGTCATTGGTAATTTTTTCAATAAACTAAACAATTATAATTTAATATGCATAATAATTAAATAATATGCAGTATAGTTAAATGTAAACATAACGTTGAAAATAATAAATACTTTATAATTTGTACATACTGTTTTGTGAACCTTTTGGTAGCTCCTTTTCCAAATATCTTGCGCTGTATTATTCGAGGAAAATATTTTATTAGTGAGGTTTATCCATTGCTTGATTAAGCAAGGTTAACAGTATCAGCAGTTTCTTTACATTTAAATTCATTTGCATATTTCCTTTCATGCTTCATACATGTGAGAAATGTTTTAATTTCCACAAAAAGTGCTATCATACGCGTCTATCATTATGTAATATTTTTGTTCATCATGGAGAGTTGAAATTTCTTATCACCGTGCAATGCATTTATAATTTGTAAAGGGTAAAAATTGATATTCGAATTATATTTTACTGAGCAACAATTAACCTGATCTTTCATTCGTATGCCATATATCTGAAAATCACTGATTTAAAAAAAAAACTTAAATAATTCTTATTATTAATTAATAATTTTCACGTTTCTTATTTTCTGGGGTTTTATTTGAAAAAGCAGCAAATTTCTTTGGTACGATCATTCTACAAAAATTTTGTAGATCCTCATTTATTTTATAGGTGCAAATAAATCTATTTGTGAATGTTATTATGTTATGAATTTTAATGTTTATAAGTATACATAAATATGTATNTTGTAAAGGGTAAAAATTGATATTCGAATTATATTTTACTGAGCAACAATTTACCTGATCTTTCATTCGTATGCCATTTATCTGAAAATCACTGATTTAAAAAAAAAACTTAAATAATTCTTGTTATTAATTAATAATTTTCACATGCTTCTTATTTTCTGGGGTTTTATTTGAAAAAGCAGCAAATTTCTTTGGTACGATCACTCTACAAAAATTTTGTAGATCCTCATTTATTTTATAGATGCAAATAAATCTATTTGTGAATGTTATTATGTTATGAATTTTAATGTTTATAAGTATACATAAATATGTATTAGTGCTATAAATGTATTTTACATTTGCTTGTTCTTAAATATGTTGCATCTATTATCATGTACCGTTATATAATGCTATACTAAGAAACTGTAAAATACTTATTTTACAGCACCGAAACCCATGGTGAAACCTGATTCGTTTGGCGTGAAGAATGGTTGGGAAATCACTGTCATTTTACCTAAGGCGTCGGAAGAATATGGTCCGATTAGCCATTACTTCCTTGTTGTTGTACCTACTGAAGAAGCTTACAGAGATCCTGGGCAGTTTACTCTTGAAGAGGTACATTTATAATTTTCAGCATTTTCTTCTTAGATTTAAGGCTGTTTTTCGTAGCCTCTGTAGTCATATGAAATAATGCATTTTTGCTTTAATATACCATTTTTATGACTGCTATGAATTTGTATTCGTTATTTCTGAGTATCAGGTTAAGTTTTGTCCATCTGTAACCAGTTCCCCACTTTGCTAATTATGAAAATGGTTCAAAATATTATTGTGAAGAAAGGCTACAGTTTGAAAAAAAAGAAAAAGTGTTTCAACTTTTTAACAATTTAAAAGTTAGTCCAATGCTGCATTGTTAGGACTAATAAAAATATTCAAATATTGAAAATTAGTTATTGATTTTAAGATTTTTGATCCAGCTATAAATATTTTATCAAATAAATTGGCTTATTAAGATCAATATTTCTTTAAATATTTAGGATATTAGTCTGCTTTTTAGTCCATACTAATTATTTTCACCAGGTAGTATATGTATTTTCAAGTTAAAGCTTTGCTTGGAGTTTAGGACATTCTAACTGTGAGTTTTTATATCTTACGTGAGAGAGCATTGAAGAATATTCTGATCTTATTCCCTCTGAGCATTAGTCCCGACTTTTTCTTAACTTTAAGATGCGCGTTTTCCTGCATCAAAAAACCAGTTTTATATTTATTGAATTGTAAAATTTAACCTAGCAAAAAAATTTCTGTACAATTTTACCTAAGGTTGAACACTTAGATGATTATTAATATAACGCTTATTTTTCAACCATATCATTATATGTATTGCTCTTAGATATGTGCATTATTGTATCTTAATTAGATTTATTATAATGCTCATATTTCAGCCGGCTTTGATGTAAAACATAAATTTGCTTTAACAAACTGTTATTTTTCAAAATTTTAATTGCAAGTTTGATTCACTTTGTTTTTCAGCTTACTGCTACACCTGTTGATCAAATAGGCCCTTATATTGCTGCCAAATTCTTACACCGCTCGATGCCTGAGCTGTTCAGTTTAGGAAATGGCAAAATGTTTAATGGCTATCAAAATCGCAGACTTGTTCATGATCAAAAATATAGCATATTTGTTCGAGCTGTTGTTGATACTCCTCAAAAGGTAAAAATAAAATTTACACAATCTTTACTTTTTTTTTTTACTATATTTTATAACTTTATATTTTATATTTTTTATAAATTTATATAGTCTTATATTTTTATTGTTTCAGATTAATATTATTGACTTTAGCACTAATTTTTTTGCATTTTATTTATATACCTCTCTCTGAAATCAGAGAAAACGTAAATTTCTCTAGAAATTTGATAATAATTGTAGAAAACTTGAAATTCGTAGGGATTTGAAACTCTGGAAATTCTTAAGTTTAAGCAATGGGCAGTATTGTGCCATGTAATCACACACTGCCAGTATGTTACAATCTATTTTTACACTGAAAATTGTTAGCTATTAAGTTATAAAAATTTATCCAGTGGTATTATTATTTTTTCCTTCTCATCATTGCTATCTTAATTAATAATTCTTTTTAGTCATTTTTTTATTTTAATTTTCTTTTCAACAAGAATTTCTCCTATTAAAATTAAACTTCTTAAACCATTAGTACTTTTAGCATTCTATTCTCGAAAATCTACTCATATTTATCATGATCTTGTAATAGTGAAGGATAGTTTTTATTTCTTTGTTTTAGTTGAGTAACACAAAACTTTTATAGTATGAAAGAGTGATAGATTTTTATTTAGATAAACTTTTTTTGCTGTATGAGAGACATATAAGTTGTTTACATACATGAAAATTTGTAAAATTGTACTAATTTCAGGTGACAACTATCTTGATTTATCTGTAATTATTTGAATTTTGTAGGCAAGGTTACGGTCTTATGATAGAGTAATAAAAATTATAGTTTTTGAGGATTACTATACTCTAAAATAAGTTGTATTTTCCTGAACTACGGAGAGTTATGAAATCCTGCTGTTTTTGGCAGATATTTGAAAGAAAAAGCAGCTTAAGTGTTACTTTTTTTTATTTAATATTAATATTATGTATATACCTATGTAGAATAAAGTGGTAAAAATACCTTGAAATTATGCTAATTTGAATTTTGTATTGTTATATGTATTATTATACTTCTGATTATGTGTAGTCTGTTTGGAAAGTTGGCACCTCTGTAATTTAAATCATGAAAATCTTGGAAATTTCTGCAATCTTACTCTGAAAATTTGATTTTATCTGGAGAGTGTTCATCCTAATTTATATAGCCTTATATATTTTGTTTAGTTTAGTGTTAATAATATTTATCATAACATTTCTTATTTTATGACAGAGTCTGTATACCAGCAGTCCATTCTCTGATCCCATCAGTTTGGACATGCAGCCTGTTCGAGGTCCAACACCGCCAATTGTCCCTGGAATGATTGATAGAAATGATCTCCCTGACATGTCTCAGATCAATAGTGATGCTGATAAAGCTCAAATTGTGTGGATAATTGTACCTGTAATAGCTTTGATTGTGCTTACGTTCATAATTATTGCTGTTTTTGTAATGAAGAGGTAAGAGTTTCGTTGTGGTGAATGCACTGACATTTCCCCCCCTTTTTTTATTGTCATTAATATTTATAGTTTAAAAGGAATGTTAAAGTGAAAGTTGAAGCGAATCTCTATTTTTCTTTTTGCTAAAGAAAATGCTCTGAACTTTTGGAATGTGCTATTCTAAATTTCTCTGACAATGAAGTCTGCATATTTTTTTTCCTTAAGATTCCTGTGTAGCAAAAGATTTTTTTTTTTTTAATTTTTGCAATTGTAGGGAATATAATCTGTGTTTTCTGTTTGAACTTACTCTTTTTAATAAATATTTCCTGTTATTTTAATTTAATGAAAGTCTATGTTGAGTAATATCATAACATGTATGAAAATTGGTGTATTTAATTTAACTATTTAAATTAAAAAGATTTAAAATATTATTCAAAATTTAAAAAAAATCTTCATTATTACTGTTAATATCACTTTGAATTATAAATCTTAAGAAGAATAACTGTGTAAACTTTAATTTTACGTCATCTTCGGCGAATGTAATCCCTTAATTGACGGAACATTTGCGATGCTTAAAAAACGTTTTTCTCTTGTTGATTTTACTACCAAGTTTCCCCCCTTATTAATTTAATGAGAAAGTTGTAAATTGAAGAGAAATATTTTTTCAAACTTGCTATAAAATGATCAGTCAGTTAATAAATACTGCAAATTATTTTATTATTCAAAACTGTTATATTTTAATTTTTTGAATTTTTTTTTCTATGTTTGCATGCATTTATTCAAGTTTTTAATTACTTATTTGATTTCGTTTTTAGTTTTATTTCTTTCTTTTTGTAACATATTTTTTTTAATTATTATTATTAATATTATTTTTATTAATTATTATTATTTTTTATTATTTTATTTTGTTTTGTTTTGTTTGGTTCTTTTGAGTTCTTTAATGTTAGCACCTAGATGGCATTGTTACAGGCATTTCCCTCACCTCCTTTATAACAGAAGGCGACAACTTGCGAAGACACCCGGAGGAGAGACCACCATGAAACTGCTGATGACCACAGCTGAACGAGAACTGCCCACACACCCAACAGATCCCGTAGAGATCAGGCGCATGAACTATCAGACTCCGGCTATGATTAACCATCCCCCTATACCAGTCACAGAGCTTGCCAATCATTTAGAGATGTTGAAAGCCAATGACAACATGAAGTTCTCTCAGGAATATGAGGTTTGTAAGACATATGCACCAATTTTGTTAAATATTTTTAACTAAACAGATATAGTCTATAATTAAGCTCTTAAATCCTAAATAATAATTATATGGTACACAGTTTTCATATATTTTTGTATTTATTGTTGAATTTATGATTTTTGCCTGCTAAATATTTTCTTTGTCAGACATGAGACTCTTTCAAAACTGTGATCTTTAAGTTAATTTTATTTATTATTATTTATTTCAATTAAAGATTTAAGGTCAGGTGGTGGCAGTTAATTTTTTGATATAGCTTAGTAAGAAGTCAGTCATTGATATTTTATGTAAAGTTGTGTTTTTTTTTTTCTCATTGGCAAAATGGGTGTTGTTTTGAGTTTGATGGCGTGTGGCTTATTTGGACGTCATCACGCTTTTCAACTATGTTCAAGAGTAATAATAAACAGTGTGCATGCATTGCTATAGCGACCGCTGCTGTTTGATAATTGTTTTAGAATTCTTTTTTTCATTTTTAATTTTATTATGCATTAAGTTGGTGAGTTTATTTTTGAGATATGGGACCAGAGAGATGCCATAAATACTTTTTGAGCTGTGCATAAGAGAAAATTTCATCATTTGAACAATATTTTTTTGTTTTAATGAAGAATCAGAAATTCTAACCTACAGTTCAAACGGGATCATTTTCAATACTAATTCACATGAATATCACAAATATAGAGGGTCCCAAACTGATTGGCACGGTCCCAAAGGTTAGAGTTGAAGTATTTATATTTAAAAAAAATAAAAATTAGACAACAACCATTTTGCCAATGGATAACCTGTGATCCCTTTTCAGCGATCACAATTTTTTTTTTCAATTCAATTTCAGTTTTATAGTAGTTTTGCTGAATCTTTTAGATTGCCCTATAACAGTGGAATTTTATTTAATTAAAACCTTAAGCAAGCAACATTTTTCTCGATAAGTTTGAACATTTTGCAAATGTTTTATATATTTCCTAACTTTGTTGATAAGATATCTTGTTATAAATAATTAAAAAGCATTATTTATATGGTATTTAAAATTCCTATTTTTTAACCCATGAATCACCATTTAAACAAAAAAATAAAGTAATAAGTTTGTTTCACAGAAAATATTGTTTTTCAAACTAATTATTTTTCAAACACAATCTTTTTTCACTCTCATGCGTGCTTGGTAAAAAGATTCCCTATTTTAGTTAATTTCAATAAAAAAAAAACTCTGTTAAAAGTATTTTTTTTTATTTTACTGTGTGTTATCACTTCCATTAGCCCATTAATTGGAAATATGCATTCTAATCCTTTGTGGCTCTGATCAGTATTGTATAGAATTGTATAGCTATGCTACCTTTTATCCACTACTTCCTGACTGATTAAATAACAGGAGTATTCTGGTTTGTTTTTTTACTCATACTTCCAGCTTCCGTAATCTAAAAATTTGATGAAACTCACTAAATCCACGTAAACGAAATGTTTAGATACTTGTGATTCTTCTGCTGTTCGGTAGAAATCCGCTAATTTAATTCCTTTAGTTTAAAGGATTTTTGCCATTTTTAATATTTTGGAACTATGTTGGAATCCGCTAATAGCACAATTCATATTCACGCAATTTTATTATCAGCCATCAACTTTTACATTTACCTGATTTTAAATTTACACGTTAAGATTCGTATTCGCGTGATTTAATAATCCAACATTTTTGTTTGTATTTACGCGTTTTTAAAGCCAATAATGCTATTAGTATTTACTCATTTTTAAAATCCAATATTGCGATTTATACTCAGAGTTTATAATTATATATCGTGATTCGAATGCATGCGTTTTTCAAATCCATTATTATGATTCGTATTCATGCGTTTTTAAATTCTATTATTATGAGTCATATTCACGCATTTTTATAGAATCCGATATTATGATTCACATTCACACGTTTGTAATATCAAACTTCGATTTTCGTATTTTCTATTTAAATAGTGCAATTTAAACAGCCAAGTTTCGGAAATAAGTATTTTAATATTGTAGTACTTTTTTAGAAATTTTAGCATAAATTATGTAAAATAACAGTATTTTTAAAAAATTTGATGTAATAAAAATCTAATATTAAATTACCTATTGAAAAGTAATTATTGCATACTTTTTTATTTTTTGCCTTAATTTTTTTGAAAAGAATGTTTGGGAATACTTTGTCCCAATATTTACATTCATATTGAGTTATAACGATACATGTTATAATTTTACAAAGTTATCTATTATTATATAAATAATATTCACTAGTTTATGTATGAGCAATATTTGAATGTTAAAATCTGAAATGATACAATTCCATTGTGTTTCTTTTTTAAAAAAAGCCAATTCAAACCATCCAACCAAAGTTTATTTAACATTAAAATTTAGAACATTTCTATAAAACATAGTTTAAATAATATTCCACAAAAGAATTTACCCAATCTTCTTTTTTTTAGTCGATTGAACCTGGCCAGCAGTTTACGTGGGAAAATTCCAACTTAGAAGTGAACAAACCAAAGAATCGTTATGCAAATGTCATAGCTTATGACCACAGCCGTGTTGTTTTACAATCCCTGGACAGCCTACCAGGATCAGATTATGTGAATGCCAATTATTGTGATGGGTATCGAAAGCAGAATGCATACATTGCCACTCAAGGACCTCTTCCTGAGACATTTGGTGATTTCTGGAGAACGGTTTGGGAACAGAGGAGTGCCACAATCGTTATGATGACCAAGCTGGAAGAGAGGACAAGAATCAAGGTATAAATTCAAAGAATATTATTGCTAAAGCCCAGATTTTGATTTATTATCTATTTTTAATTTTATAGGGCATTTTTTGAGGTCTATATTATTTTATGGCACTTTTTTACATCTTAGAATATTTTTAGCTTAGAAACTCTGAGCTATTTTTTACTCAAATTTCTAATATTTTTACTTTGATACAAATCAAGACAATGATGATAAAACTCTTGATACAATTAATAATACTTTTAATACAATTACATGTAAATTTAAAAAAGCAATAATGTCTCAGGCAGACTTAGATAAAAGGAAAAACTTTCTGTGAATGGGATCTCAATAGAAAACTTTCTGGAGGCAATTTATTGACTTTTGTAACTAATTTTTATCCTATCTTCGCCGCCTAATTTTCTCGATTTTTTTTAAGTGTTATAAAGCTCTATATTGACAATTATGTATATCAGCATTTATGTCTTTAAATGTAGCAGTTTTTCAAAGATATAAAACTACTTATTGACTTCTCTATTTTTATGTCATCTATATATTATGTAAATTTAAAAATTTTGTGTCAACATTGCTCGTGTATATTATGCATATTTGGTCACATGAATGAAATTCTTATTTTAGTATAAGGGATTTTTTTAATGATATTTTTAAGTCCTCTAAATCTAGTCACTAATCAATACATGTTTTTGCTTGTATGATCTTCTTTTGTCATAATTCTATAAAACTGTTATGGTTATATTGTAGTGTGACCAGTATTGGCCAACACGAGGAACTGAGACTTATGGAGTAATGCAGGTCACCTTGTCTGATGTTCAAGAAGTTGCTACTTATTGTATAAGAACCTTGCACATATCAAGGGTGAATATTTTTTTTCAACAATTCTATTTTTATGAGTATTCATCAATTACAAAATATCCCAGAAAGCATGTAACCTTACGTCAACCTTGTGTCGGAGTTTTCTTTTCATTGTCACGAAAATGTTAGCACTGAAAACCTTATTTTCAATAAAGCAAAAATATTGCAGTTTCAAACCTTTCATCCAAAAAAGGATTAAAAATTATTTTTTAAAAAGTATTGTCACTTAGTTCCGTAATGACATTTAAGCTAACGTCACACTACCAATAGGATCAAATTGCATTGTCCATTAAAATTTTATGACAAGGTGGATTTTAGCTGAGCATACAAGACGTTGTGAAAATAAACCTTATAATTACCTAGATTTAAGATTATTTTCACCTTAAGACTAGCTTTATTCAAAGATTTTTTCACGCTTGAAAACCCTAAGTCTACCTCAATTTAAGGTTTTTACACCGAAGGTTGTTTTCCAAGGTTTTGGATTAGGGTAATGTGCATAGAATAGAGCAGATTGTCACAGATCTCGTTTTAAGATTAGAAGGTTTGCACATAAACCGCATAACAAATCTTTTTATGTGTACATTGAAAGGTTTTTGCTGGGTGAAACTAAACCCTATTTTGCTATCTGGGATTATTTGTTTCTGACAATTTTCAAGTAATTTATCTTTTGTTACTGTCACTAATTTTCTTTATTAAAATAGTCCATTTGTATTTTTCTTACAGTTTTAAGGTTAAAAATGTTTTTATGTGTATTTTGTCACTTATTGAATACCTTAGATTTTAAGATTTATTTTTATTTTTTAGTACATTTTTGATAGATTATTTGTAAGCACTAAATTTTTGAAGCATTAAACTGTTATTATATAAGACTGAGGTTCGAATCTTCGCGGTAGAGTGAGGCAAAATCAGCTTCAGATTGATGAGTACTAGCTTGTAATGGAAGTGAAGATAGCTGGTGCATAATGCTGACTTCGTTGCTATCGTTGTTGATCATAAAATTGTGGAGTCTTTTCCTCCTTGACCTCCCTTAGTTCACAAAGGGCTGTTTTGCATGAATGTTTTGCTTTTACTATAAATTTTAATGTTTTTTTTTCTTTTAGCCTCAGTTGTCTGATTACATCTGGGGCAATTTTTATTTTATTAAACAGTAACAAATCTCAAAAAAAAAAAAGAATCAAAAACCACATTGCAATTTTCTTAAATATTTGTGCTAGGTTTTCCCATTTTTCCATTAAGTCAAACTAAAATTAGCATTAAATGTTACATTCCTTTTCTTAGTGCTTATGAGGACTCTGTAACCAAATTTAAAACTAACTTCAGCATTTCAAATACTAATTTGAAAAAAAAATGCACCTACAATTATTTTAAATTATGCTTTACTTGTATTTATAGCATCTTTAAACAACTATATCTAAAAAATAAAATATTGTATATTATAAAAAAAATTAGTGATGTATTAATTTTTATTTCTTACTGTTTTGTAAGGTAAATTTTTCAGTTATTTTTACCAAAATGTTACAATTATAAAAACCAAAATTTACAGATTAAAAATATAAGTGTTTTAAACTTTTAATTTTTCCCCATAGATGAATCAAAGTGGTGGAGAGAAACGTGAAGTGCGTCAATTCCAATTTACAGCCTGGCCAGATCATGGTGTTCCCGACCATCCGACACCATTTTTAATGTTTTTAAGAAGAGTTAGGTCTATGAATCCACCTGAATCAGGGCCCATGATTGTACATTGCAGGTAAAAACTATGTCTTATTTTGGGATGTACCAGGTACCCAGCTAAATAATTTTAATTTCCGTGAACCCAGACCAAACTGATTTTATTGGGTATCCAGTGCTAGGAAAAATTTATGTTTAACACAGTCATGTTTACATTTATAGTAACCTTAAAACTATTTAAAAAAAATTAGTGTTGAAAATCCATGTATCCAATCAATTGCTTAATAATCAAGCAGACATGTTTTGCCTTTGAATTGAATTTTAATTAAGCGAAACCTTGGTTAGATTGAGCACCTCAGAACAGAGAAGTATGTTCTCTAAAGAGAGATGTTTGTTTAGGAGTAGGACATGCATATTCAGAAATATAATGCTGAAAATTATTTTAACTAAATTAACATGATAGTTGAATGAATACAAAATTTGAAATAGGGAATTGCATTGATATTTACATGAAGTTAATAAAAGCATAATGAATAAAATTATATAACTGTTATAGATAATAAAATGTTATAACCTATAAAAATGTTATAACTGTTAAAAAATGATATTTATTTTACTCTCATACTAAATTTGCTTTTAGAAAATGAATAAATGCAATCATCTATTTTTATTTTTTGGTTTTATAGACTCAACATTTTAAATTTAAAAAAAAAGATGGTTAACAACAATGTATAAATATTTTCTTATGCAAAGCACATTAATTTGTCTAATGTTATTACTAATTTGAAAATCATCGGAGATCTATATCCCAGTAAATAAAAGCACATAAGTTGACAAAAAAGAAATAATTTGGAAACATTTGTTTCATTTGTGATGTATATTGATTCATGTTTACATAAAAACAAGCATGTATAAAATTAGCCATTGGTAACTTTCAACTAAATTTTTACTAAAAAGCCTGTTTCTTACTCATTTGCTCGATGAATTCGATTTCCAATCAATCCGGTGAACAGTTCTCATGACAATCTTTAAGCATCAGGCTAACCCTGTGAGGTTTTTTTTCTCTGTGTAATGCAAATATCACGCAGAATTAGCCTTGCTCTTTGTTTGTTACTTAATCGAGGAATTAATTTTAAATTGTGTGCTTTAAATTACTGACAAACGGCGATAGAATCGTTACATTTAGGACAACAAAATTTTTCTCTGGGTATTGAAAAGTCTACTAAGAGATAGTACTAAGATAGTTGTTATTACACGTAAATTATGCTTATGTTTATTGGTTCTGTAACAATTAAACTCCAATAACTAAAACATTTTTCAATTAATATACCATAATTCTATTAAAATATTTTTTTTTTTTATCTTTTGTTTAACAGAAGTTATATTAGTGAATACCATTGAAAGTTTTAGTCAAGCAAATGAATAAGAAACTATTATAAATTCCACTCTTAGCAGGTGTCTCGAATTTAATTTAGAAAGTTTTTTTGAAATTTCATTTAAAGAAATCTAAAAATAAAAACATGTTTTTATTTATTTAGATACCCGACTGCGTAATAAACCCATATTTTACCAGACCTGGTCAGACTAGGTAATAAATCCATATAACATCTAATTCTTAAATTACTCCCTGATACCAATTTGGAGCAGAAATGAATAGGAAGCCCCTACTAAAGTGACAATTATTTATTGTGTTCTCTTCTTATCTGAAAAGTGAAAATTTCATTCCAGCTAGTAAAATATTTCTTTGAAGAAAAAAAATTTCCTCTTCTTTATGCAATGAAGGCAAATGACAACCATAGATAACCATTCAAGGGAGAAAATTTAACATAAGTTTCAGATAAAATGGTTTGGTTCCATTAAATTTTATTCATAGAACACGTTATTCATTGTTTAATTGTTCAAAATATTGTGATTTTAACCTCTGTAGTTTTTACTTTGGTAAATAAATTTAAAGCTTGTAATAGTTCATTTTGACAAAAATATTTTTGATTACAATAGAATGATCTTTTTATAAAATATTTCTTAATTATAATGTAAATAATAAAAACAGTTCAAAATTCATATGCTGCCCATTTGTGGTTTTATTAAAATATCATGCTTTTTTTCTTTTAAATTCAGTTAATTTAAACTATTAGTGAAAATTCTTGAAAATAATATGTTTAATAATCTAGTAATATTATTTTTTTTTAATGTTTGCAGTCTATTTAATTTATTTCTACTTGTTGCGCATGAAGTGCTCTTGAAATTAATTTAACTAATGATTCAAACAATCGGAATTCATTTATATTGAACTGCAGGATCAGGAACTGTAAGCTCCATTAGTGTAAAAAATTTTGAACATGCTACTTCCTGTCAATCTCCACATCAAATCTATGTCATTTGAAATAAAAAATAAAACTCACAATTAAAAAATTAGTCAAGTTATACATTGCCAAACATTAAAGATAATAAGAAGAAGAAATCAGAAATTTAAATTTAATTTTATACATTTTAAGAAAACAAATTGATACAAGGAACAAGAAAAATTATTTGACTGGAATTTAATTTTTAAAGGCAGTTTTTTTTTCAAACTGCAGAATTTATAATTTTTAATTTGTACAGCTTAAAATTATTTTCTGTTAATGTAACTTTGAGAGGTTGAGTTTTAAATAAATGATTATGGATATTCCAGTTTTGTTTTTATCTTATTTATCTCCATTGTGCATTATTGCTATTATCCCTAATTGAAGATTAGTCATAAACTGGAAGCTCAATCCTCCTAGGCTAACAGAGGAAAAGTTTTGGTATTTCCCTCTTAAAAATCTTTCTTAACAGTTAGTTAACTCAAATATAATTTAACTTTACTCAGCTAACTAGCATAGCCCAAAAGAAATGTTGTTTAGCAAGCAATGCAACCATTTAGAAGACTTGGAGCAATAGCGACAAGACACGTTTTCAAACAGTTAAGGATAGTTTTTCTTAAAAGCATTAAGATATTTAATAACCAGAATATTGCTTAATAGATCAATGCTTACATTTGAAAAGTTAGTGGTAATAATGATAAGCCACGTTCTCAAATAGTTCAGCATAGTTTTTGTGAAGCATTTTTTGCGAAACATAAAAAACCCTGTGTATTGTGCTGTCATCTAGTGGAAATTTTAGAACCTTGTCAGAGTACCTATCTGAAAACAGTTCAAAGAGACTATATACTGTCCATATTATCAATTAAAAGAGAAGTTACATTGTCTAGATTTTCAATGAAACATTAATTTTCTTTTGCAGTGCCGGTGTGGGTAGAACAGGTTGCTTCATAGTGATTGATTCCATGCTTGAGAGACTGAAAAATGAAAGCACTGTCGATATCTATGGACATGTCACGTGCCTTAGGGCTCAGCGCAATTACATGGTCCAAACTGAAGACCAGTATGTCTTCATTCACGATGCCGTGCTGGAAGCTGTTATTGCTGGCAGTACAGAAGTTCCTGCACGCAATCTCTTTGTACACATTCAGCAGCTGATGAATGTCTTGCCTGTTGAAGGTTGCAGTGGAATGGAGTTAGAATTTAAGGTACATTCGACTACTATTTTTTAGTAATGCGTAGAATTTAAGGTGCATTAATACTAGTTTTTAGTAATGCATAGAATTTGAGGTACATTCGACTACTATTTTTTAGTAATGCGTAGAATGTAAGGTTCATTGACTACTATTTTTTAGTAATGCATAGAATTTAAGGTACATTCGACTACTATTATTTTTTAGTAATGCATAGAATTTAAGGTGCATTGACTACTATTTTTTAGTAATGCATAGAATTCAATTTACATTTTCTACTATTTTTAAGTAATGCGTAGAATTTAAGTACATTGACTACTATTTTTTAGTAATGCATAATGTTTAATTTACATTTTCTACTATTTTTTAGTAATGCATAGAATTTAAGGTACATTGACTACTATTTTTTAGTAATACGTTTTTGATAAATATATCTGTGTATTATTGTAATATATTTGTTATGTGTATTTTTATGAGCTATGTTAGGGGCTTGAAATTTATAATATGCAACATTTTTCATTTTTGATCATTCGAATTATATCAACCCTTGCTAGTTTATCAGGTAAAATTCAATGTATAATTTGTTCTTAATTATCACAAGCATTTTCTCAACTTATGCTAGGCTGAAAAATAACATCTTGTTTTCCTAATTTTGATTCTTTTTTTTTTAATTGATGATGTAAAATAGATTGAAATTCAAAGTTATGGTTATTCTAGTTATGATATCTATATGGTTATAAGTTATAATAAAATTTATGTTTCAAATAATTCCTATTATCTAAAGGTTTTATTATTAGTATTTTAAGGACATTTAAGGTCTGACAATTTATTGAAAACATATTTCATTATTCTTTAATATTTTTATTTTTGATGGATTAAATACCCTGCATTTCTTAAATTGAAATTTCAATACAAAATTTGATTTTCATGAAAACTATTTTCTCTAATAATACAACGTTTTCAGAATTACAATTTATTTTCTCTATAGTAATATAAATTTGTCAGTGCTCTACAGGGAAATAATTTTAAATATTTTTATCGCCAATATTAATACAGTGTCTCCAAATTCAAAATTATTATATGATCTAATTATAGTATTGATCATTAATGTTTCAATAAATTCCTGTTTAATTTTAAAATGCATTATAGTTTTATTTAAAAGACGTAGAACAAAAAAAAAGTATTTTTTGTGTAGTTTTCATGCATTTAAATAGCGGGTAGCAATTTATAATTTTGAAATCATTCATTTACAGAAACTTGCCAATATGAAGACACAATCCAGCAAGTTTGTTAGTGCTAATTTACCTGTAAACAAGTTTAAAAATAGGCTAATGAATATTCTTCCATGTAAGTTAACTACTTTTTCTCTTGTATAAAATTTGTTTATCTTTGACTTATTGAAAAATATGTTCTTTCAATAGTTTTTTTTCTTTTGTTCCATTTTGTGTTTTTTCTTGCTAATTATGTCTACTTTTTAAAAATGAAGCATTGTTTGTTTGTTTATTTTAATAGATGAAGCAACAAGAGTTTGCTTACAACCCATTAGAGGAGTAGATGGTTCAGATTATATAAATGCCAGCTTCATAGATGTATGTATTACATTGTTTAAATATATGTTTATTGTAATAAATTTCGTTATCTTTTGATGTCATAATGCAATCGTGCATATTACATTGTTTAAAATTAAATTTATTGTAATAAATTCATTTTTTTGGTGTCATAATGCAATCATACATATTATATTGTTTAAATATAAATTTATTATAAAAAATTGCATTATCTTTTGGTGGCATATTGCAATTATACAAATACCATTTGAAACTTGCTGTTCAGAAAAGCTATCTATTATTTTAACAGGTGATAAAATAAAAGATGTTAGAAAAATATGAATATAATAGCTTTGATTTTTAATTGCAAAGCGAAATATTTAATAATATTTTTTATCAATATTTTAAATAATTCTATCAGAAAAACAAACTACAATAAAGAAAAAGTTTAAATTTTGAATTTTATTCACAATTTTCAGTAACTTCGGGAGCGTTTTAATGAATCAGGTTTAATCGATCTGCTTAAAGTACACCAATCAAATTCTCAATTTCTAAATGTATATCTCATATGAATTTTTATTTTGATGAAAAAGTTACAATAGAAAAGATTGTCAGTGCAGAGTGAAAATATTTTGTATTAAAATGTAAAGTTTGCTTTCAAGTCATTTTAATTCATTACAAACTAGTTTATTAATAACAAAAAGGGAAGTACAGTTTTAATCTTAAGAGATGAGTGGAAGTGTTCTCCACTCATCTCTTAAGATTAAAACCGATTAAACTTTTTTGTCTGTTTTTGAATGGTATCATCAAAACTCTGGGAGAGGAACAAGAGAGAAGTCAAAAAACTGATCCACAATTAAAATTTTGCTATTAAGAAAATACTAGCTATTATTTTGATTATATAAAATAGAAGACTGCTAATAAACTTCTAGTAAAAAATATTTCATTTCCTAAGAAATATGAATGCTTTTTAGAAGCAAAGTGTTAGTTTATGTTTATTTTTTCCCAGTTATTTGAGAATTATATGTATCTAATATTTAATAATTACTTTTAACTAAATTTGATTAAATTATTACTTTTTAATTTTACAAAACAATTAAACTAAATGTTAGCTTTCTTTTGCCAAAATGTATACATTTTATATCACTTTAAGAATTGAAATTAAAAATTGGATTAATTATTTACACTTTTTAATAATTTTTAACAAGTCTGCAACAAAATTAAGTCTTCTCAGTATTGTAATGTCTGTCTTAATCTAATTGTATTTTTGAAACAAATAAACTAATACTATTAGAAACTGATCATGGATTATTTTGTTGTTTCTAGGGTTACAAATATCGTAATGCTTATATATCCACTCAAGGACCTCTACCAGAAACAACTGAAGATTTCTGGCGTATGTTGTGGGAACACAATTCCAACATTGTAGTCATGCTTACCAAGTTAAAAGAAATGGGAAGAGTATGAAGTTTTTCTTTAATTAATTCTTTTTTGCAAACTTTAAGGTTCTTATAATATTCCGTTATTGGCTCATTATATTTTCTTACTATCTTTCATAATCTTAAAATATTCTATTTTTGGATCTTAATTTCTTTTCATGAAAGCCTTCAGATTTTTAAGTGCTATTTTTCATTCAATTTTTTTTTCTCACAAACTTGCTGTTTCTTAATTTTTGCTTTTATTAGAATAATTAATCTTATTAGTTTATTAATTATTATATTAGGAACTAATATTTTTTACATATATTAACAAATTCTTAACCTTTTGACTCATATAGAACATTGGTGTCTCTTTTATATTATTTTTTCTAATTACAAGCAAAAATATGTTTTGGTATTTTTTTAATTATAAAACAGTTTAATAGTTACTAAAAAATTTGTTAGATTGTCGGAATTATATTTTTACTAAAATATCAAATCCAAATTATTTATATTCAAAAATGTGTTAATGATTGGGTACGTAAATTAAAGAAATTTCAATGATGAAAAATTGTTGTTTGGAAGTGAACTGTGTTTGAAGAATTTACCTTTAATGCAAAAAAAAATAATTCATTGTTTCATGCTGTAGTTCATTACCATAATTTATTAAAATACTTAATGTATAATATTTTTTTCACTTATTTCGACTAAAATTAACACAAAATAAAAAATAAAAAAAATTTACAAATATATTTAATAAAAATTCTCAATTCTGTCAAAGTGTTAAATTGTTCCATTTTCAATCCTTAATTTTTATTTCTTCTTACTCACTTGCAAATTCGTTCACTCATCCTATTTTCTTTTCTTCTCTTTTACAAACTTTTAAACTCTTAGAATGTTCCATTTTTAGTGCTGACTTGCAGATTAATTCACTCTTCCTATTTTTTTTTACAAACATTTGTTCCATTTTCAGTTCTTTTTTTTTTTTTTTTTTTTTTTTTTTTTTTTTTTTTTTTTTTTTTTTTTTNTTTTTTTTTTTTTTTGTATCATAATACACTCCTACTTTTGTGTCTCGCTAAAAAATTATTAGTATCTTCTACTGTAAAAATGTTGACTACGTTAAGATTAAAAGTTCTGTTTTTCTCTCATCATTTAAGTATGTAACTTCCTTATTGCGTATAATCTGTTTCTACTGCTATCACAGGGATTTAACTACAAATAACCCCTTTCTTTAGGAAAAGTGTCATCAGTATTGGCCAAACGAACGATCTCAAAGATATTTGTATTATGTGGTTGATCCTATCACTGAATATAATATGCCTCAGTACATCTTACGAGAATTCAAAGTAACAGATGCCAGAGTAAGCCATTTTTATTATGTTTTCTGTTGAGTTAACTTTCTTATTAGTGTTTGTAAGTACAGAATTTCGGTATTGACTTTTCATTGCTTGATTAATATTTTAATTTTTTCAGGATTTATTCAAAAAAAAATTAAATAGCTGTCAAAAACTTTAAGTGAAAATGTGTTTTACTTTGATTAAACTTTTAAACTCAACTAACAGAGGATTAATAATGGTTAATAGTGATCGTACATAGATTGATTCATATCTTGTCTTAAGAGACCTCTACTCTCGCTATCTTGGATTCTAGATAAAATTTTTAATTTATGTTTTTTTGTACTTGCCAAACAGCGTAATGCCTTTCAAAAAGATAGAAAATGAAAGGGTTGCTTAATTAGATTAGAAGAAATAACACTTGATAATTTTTAGAACTTCCATAAATTTTTCTCAATACTTTAAAGTAATAAAATTTTGTCGTTTTAAGTAACTAAATTAAAACTATGTTTAAAAATATATAAAAATGGAGAAACGTGTAATCTTATTGCAGTTTAAATTGATGAAAAGCACAATTTGGATGACGCTAAAAAATTTCCTGCAACTTTTTCTGCATAATAAATAAAGACACTTATCAAAAACGTAAATACCTTAATATTTAAATATTTTTCAAACTCTAAAGATTGTAAAATTGTATTGGCATAATTTTGTAAAAAAAAATGAATAGGAATCTAAAATACCTGCATGCTTCATATATAAAATTCTGATTCAGTAAGAGTTTTATATTTTACTTGTATCAGAAGATTGTACCAAATAAAGTATAAATATCCATCATCAGTTTATTTGTAAAAATCAAATAAAAAGGATTAAAAGCCCGTCTCCACTCCTTCTACAGTCGAGTTCGGTCGAGAGAGAAAAGGTCATCTTAAGAGTATCAGCACTTAATGTAATATGTTTAAAATTTATTAAAAACTTTTTATGTTGTTAGGATGGCCAGTCTAGAACTATTAGGCAATTCCACTTCACCGATTGGCCAGAGCAAGGAGTCCCGAAGTCTGGGGATGGCTTTATCGAGTTTATTGGTCAAGTACATAAAACGAAAGAACAATTTGGACAAGAGGGTCCAATCACTGTGCACTGCAGGTTAGTCAAGTTATTTTATTTTTATAACTAATAATATAGTAATTATTTACTAATATGACACTTAACAGCTCAACTTTTTTTCGTAAAGTAAACCAAATTTTTTTCTTCTTAAGAATCAGTGATTTTTATAGATAAATCATTATGGCAATTACAAATGCTCTGAGAAGTAATTATGTTTTGAAATATATTGTAAATAAATATTTCTCTTCTAGTGCTGGTGTCGGTCGTAGTGGAGTATTCATAACTCTCAGCATAGTACTTGAAAGAATGCAATATGAAGGTGTAGTAGATGTATTCCAAACTGTTCGAACATTAAGAACACAGCGCCCAGGCATGGTTCAAACTGAGGTTAGTGTGCTCAATTTTTTTAATACACAAAATGCAGAATTTTTTTTTTCATTTTAAGTCACAAGAAATTATACAAGGGAAAAAAATTTAAAAGCTTTTTTTTTAGCTCTCATCTCTTGAAAGTGCATATATTTTAGTGTAACCTAATTATGTCACTTTAAGTTTTCTTTTAAATTGAATTCCTTTATGAGTTTCAATAAAAGACTATGCATTTGTACTTACATAAATAACTATGCATTTAGACATATTTGGTAGACAACTATATAATCAGCAAAGTGTATCTCTTACTATAAAAGCCCAAAATTTCTTAAATCCTAGTGTTTGCTAGTAAATCTCAGTAAATTTCAACTTTAATCCCAAATGACATTGACTATCTGCTGAACCTCCAACACACGTTCAGAGACAGAAAATTTTGGTCACCTCCCTTTATTATTTTATAAGATATTGTTTGATCTATAATGAGTAGTATCTTGTTATATTGTTACAAATTTATAACTACTATATATCTGTAAACTATATTTGATACTAATTTAGATACTTAGAAAGAAGACATTTTTATTTTTCTGAGCAATATGTTCATTTTCTTCCATTTTCTTTTAATTGGTTTTTAAGATTATCAGTCATTCTTGGGACTCTAATGCATGTATGTTTAATTGAATTACACATCAATCGTACTTAATTTTAAAAATATTTCAGCGTATATGGTACAATCTTGTATATTATAGCATCTGTTTTTTATTTATTATAATGCATGCTAAAATAGTATATTATTTTGTTTCTTGATACTATTTTCTCTATTTTAGGATCAATACCAATTCTGCTATCGAGCATCATTAGAATACTTAGGATCATTTGACCATTATACTAATTGAGAACTTTTAAGTAACAGCATTAATATATATTATCTCTAACCAAAGCCTTGTCTCCTGCATGCTGTCATCATGCTGATCAAAAAAGAAGGTATTAGCTTAAGATGTCAATGTGCACTAGACATTTTTTCATCATCGATAGAACAAATTGGTGCTGATTGTGCAAAAAAAAATTTATGGGGAAAACCAAACGACGTTATGTTTATTTCCGTGATGTGCACGTGTACCCGAGAAACTTATGTTTTGTGGAACCAACAGTCCCTGCATGGTGGATTTGTTTGTGGTACATTGTTCCTTTAGCAAATATGGTATACATACAGCTTGTGTGGAGTTTTGATTGAGTATACACTACATATCCAAGCATTACAGAAAAACTTATGTTATTGAGAGAACATATCATAATGTCTTTTACTTTCATTTTCTGCCATCCTATTTATTTCATTACTGTATCCTGTTTGTGGCTAAAGTAGCATTCTTCAACATAACCTTTGCTCAGATAAACAGTACCATAGTATATATATATATAAGTACTTTTATAGTCATTACAATAGAGTTGAAAGCTCTTATCACACTTGGTAATAGGAGAATTATACAGAATTCATCTAAAGTGCAGCTATTCCCAAACTAGTCACAAGACGTGTGGACCTGGTTTAAATCATGTGGAACAAGTTTTGCTTTTTATACATGTCACATATTGCTATGGCCGACCTCCACCAACTTCTCCTCTACACCGATTAGTTATCCTTATTGTAATTTAAAAAGTTTTAATAACAGAGTTAAAACCAAACTCTGTGCATAGAATTACCCCATGTGAGTTATCTCCAAGGCCTTATCTGCTGTCTTATCAGTTACTTTTTCACTTTAAATCCATACTGAAATTGTCAGTTGATATTTCTCCCCATGACCAATTTGTACTGGCTCACCTCAACTATTTTCGTTAAACTAATGTTTTGGAAAGTTGGTGTTGGTTGTTCTCTTTATGTTCAATTCCAGGGTATTTCTTTGCTGTTGTCATCAAATCATTGTTTTGAAACAATTTTCTTATAGTGCAGTAAAATTGGTATTCATTTCTTTTTTTTATATTAAATTTTTACATTTGAGTGCATTTTTAACTTGAAATTTATAACTGTATCAACGTTTGGATCCTATTTCCTCTCAGAAATCCTAATGAACTGTTACCAAGTCTATTTTGTTAACTATGTTATCAAATGGTTATTTTGATTCAATCACCCTAAATGTGCAGCTTATGACTGGTGTATAAAATTCAATTTTTTTAATTTTAAATTGTTAAATTGAAATGAGTATTTAAAAATAGAAAAGAAATATCTAAAATTTAAAAATGTATCAACATTTGGGTTCTATTATTAAGTGCTGTTCCTGTTACCAAGTATGTTGAGAACTGTTATTATGAAACAGTTATATAATTTATATTTAAAAACAACATCATGAAGCATTGCTGCACTCCTCTTTGCACTGCCCCAGATGTAAGCTTTTAAATATGTTTTCCTAACAAATTTTTTACCATGTGCATCTCTAATTTAGTTTTTTGCATTTTTTTACTCTATAACCTTTGTAAAAGAAATCTAAAAAAGAAATTTGATAATGAGTAATAAATTGAATATTTAGTGACAGAATTCATATTAATAAGAGAGTCATTAACATTAGATGTTTGATATTGGATTTAAGGTGCTTGTGATGATGATTATGATATTTAACCTGTACACTCCTGTCATTGATATGAACTAAATTTAGAATTATTGATTTAATATTAATCGTGTCTTGGTGGCGAAACAATTATGAGCTTTTTTGTAGCTATTTTATGAAAAATAGAATCAAATTTTTTTTGTCTTTTATTGATTTATCTATTTCTTTTTTTAAAAAAAAATTGGTGAAAATTATGTCTTATTTTGTTCTACATTTAGTCAAGCACTAGATTTTATTCTTTTATTTTGTTGCAGTTTTAAAATGCTATAATATTGACTGATCTCATTGTTTATTAAAAGTGAATGTTATAAAGATATAATTTTCTTAGTAAAATTCTAAACTTCATCCATCTGTATTATTATTAGTTTGAAAATATTTTGTCAAAACATAAAATTGTAGGCCAACACTTATTCGAATTGAATATTGTGTAGACAAAACTTTCAAACTAATATTCAAAACTGCATTCATTTTTATTTTATATTGAAAATATTTTCTCTATTATGTATTATTTTGTTACATATTTAATTGAGTACTAGATTTTATGTTTTACATTTCCTGCATTTTTAGAACAATATAAAATTGATTGATCTCAATGTGTTGGATCTCAGTGAAATTTTATACTGAAATTGTCGTCAATGCTTATTTAGATTTGATGTTGTGAAGATAAACATTTTTATGAATTCTAAACTAGATCCTTTTTGTTGTTTATTCAGAAATTATTACTGAACCTCCTACTTAAAATTTGATCAAAGGCAGGTTTCAAAGTACTTATTAGATTGGTATTAGACTTAATTATATCTTATGCAACCATTTTTAAACCTTTAAATCTAATGAAAATTTCTTATTTTATGTTCATCATTGTTATCATGTTGTGAATTGGACTTAATTTCCATTTGTTTTTAAACACATATATTCAGGCGATGAATTTTATAACTCTTTTGCATAGTTAAGGATAAAATTAAATTTATCCCAGTTAAAAAGAGTCAATTTATTAAATGAACTAAATTTTATTTGTAATTATTTTACATAAATTTTAATTACATTATGTATTCTGCTTTTTTATCATTGAGGTTAAATTAATCCTGAATATGAAAAGTTTAGTTTATCAGTTCAATGATTAATATTTTATTGTCAATTACTTAACATAAAACTTAATTGTATTATGTATTCTGCTCATCATTGAGTGCTGTTTCAGTGTTTTTCATACTTTCATTGAAAACGGGTATTATTTCTACTTAATTCCTCATTATCATTGTGGTAATCACTTGTGTAAATATTTTTCTTTCTTTTTTTTAATTGCACTTGTTTGAAACCCTTGTCTATGAAATACTTTTGTCTCTATAGAGTTCTATACTTTTAATAGCACTGAAATGAATTGATCTGTATATATTGTACAGTATTGAATATAGTATATTCCTATTGTGAGTATTTTGGAAGTCTGTGTTTTTGTTTACTGTCTAGTATGAGAGTTTAGTTTTTATTAATTAAGTGTAAAATGAAAAGTGCATTTTTCTCAATAAATGTAGTGGTTCTAAAAGTGCTTGAAATATAGATATTGTGAATAATTATACCTACCACCACACTGTCCTCATATAAATTATTAAAATGCAAATATATAGACATGGGTTATCAGACTTTGCAACAAGCAAATAAACAGAAAAAGATTTGAATATTCAAACCCTGTTATAATGAATTTTTTAAAAAAGAATAAATTAATTGAGTTAACGAAAAAAAAAATTCCCAACATAATATGGAAAGGTAAAAAATAGCATAACCCTATATTTCTTCTATGGAATAATTTTTTTTAATCTAGTATTAAGTGAAAATAAATAATTAAAGTGCCCAAAAGTTTGTTTGCATTCTAACTTCACGATCATACCAGAAATACTGATAACTTTTGATGCAGAATCTGCTATAATCTGAAAAAATAATGAGTTTTTTATTTAAACTTTGTAATTTAACTGTGGCATTAGTTCAGTCCATAAAATCTGAAACTAACTTACATCAAGTGATTTGCTCTTTGTACCATCAATGTGAAATAGTTTCTGTCAGTGTTTTTTTCTAACATTATTTTCACCTACATCTTATATTTCCTTTGCTTATTAAGTACATCATTTACCCTCTAAATTATTGCCAGTTGCACATCTTTTCTCAGATTCATAGAAATAATTTTTTTTTTTTTTTACTAAAAATTCTTGAAGCATTTTGAACTAAAAGTTAATTCCACCCAAATTTAAAAATATATGCACTATAATTTTTAAGATACTGCTAATATATTCATGAAAATAAATTAATATTCACTGTGTTATTGTTAGCTTTAAGAAAAAAAATTATTGAAACGAGTGTAAATCTTGAAAAATATCAATCCATTAGTACAATCCACTGTTAGCCATTAATTTTATGCTGTTGTTTTGAACCAAAAATTATTTCCTTAAAGTTTTTGAACTATCACTGACAGACATCTTAAAACAAATTATTTGTCTTTGTTGCATCTTTTTTAACATTTCTAGTTTATTGAACATTTATAAAGCTTTAATAGAAAATTAAATAATAACTCATAAACAGTGTTTTCAACACAAACATGAGCATAAACAAATGCTATCCATTTAATTCACTGCTTTAGAAAACGTTATCCATACAAAAATAAAGAAGCGTTTCCTACATAAAAATTTCTATTAGCTCAAAATTATTTCTCAAAGTAATCGTTTATATGAAATTGTCTGGAAATAATGTCAAAACAAAAGTTTACTGTAAAGTTCATTATAATGAGGTTTGACTGTATATTCATATAAATAAAAAAATAATTATTTTTCCCCCACTGCCAATCATGTTTTATAACATTTTAAGTTGTATTCTTGACCAAGTATAGGTAGCTTATTTTTTATGTTTGTTGTTGTGATAAAAAGGAGGTAAACCCTTCAAATTTTTGTTTTTACCATATATGTTGTCTCTTTTCAATTATAGAGTATTTTGATATAATTGTTTTATTTGTGAATGACGCTGATCTATTGATCTGTGAAATTTTATTCTGATTATACATTTTTTTCTAGATATGCTATGCAAAGTTATGTAATTTGTGTCAAGGCATTCCATACATTTGTATGCAGATGTCGGGCTGTGTTAACTTCGTTGATTTGTATAATAATAATTAATCTGTAAATTCTTGTAATAAAGGCAGTAATGTGTTTGTGACAATTGCATCTCTGTCTTTTTTATTGTACTTTTTTCTAACCGGAAGTTTATATTCAATTTTTTTAAAAAAAAGTTGAATTTGAAGTTTTTATATAATAACTGGCGTTGAACATAATTCTGGGCTTACGACGATCATTGTAATTTTTAGCCCAACCCAGAAGACCAGGGAACTCCCAGATCAAGCATTTTATTTTATAACCGTCGTTGAACAGCCGACCCAATTTTTGGGTTTATGACTACTAATGTTCAACTGTGTAGCCTTGTAACGTTGAACCCAATCTGGAAGACAAGAAAACTCCTGGATCTAGTATTGGGAGAAATTTTGCCTTCGTGGAGGACTTTTTGATGGAACTGAGCCGCATTTGCATTACAAGGAGGGGAAGACCACGAGTTAGCCTAACAGCAAGGAGACTCTTACCGATGATCTGTCGACCACTGAGGATATTTTTACGTCAGCACTGTGGGCGGTGCAACCCGGATGCGGAATTCTTATTGATGAGCCATCGCTGGGATTCGAACCTGGTTCACCTCATTTGAAGGCGAATGCTCTATCTCCTGAGCCATCGCGACACCCAGATCAAGCATTGTGGACAAACTAGGCTTCGTGAAAAACTTTTTGATGGAAGTAACCAGCATTTGTGTTACTTGATGAGGAAAACTTCCCACGGTTAGCTGGACGGCATAGGAATTCTAACCCACACGATTTATCTAAAACAGATATTTTACATCAGCCCTGTGGACGAAGTGAGCTGGGAGTAGAATTCGTTTCAACCAGTCACCGCTGAGATTCTAACCTGGGTCACTTCATAAACGCAGCTCTCTATATTAAGTTGACAAAAATATTTTATTCTTAATAAACTTCTAATGCAGAGAAAAGAGATGCATAATCAGTTTTAAATGGGTAAGCAACAAAAACCAGATAATGCTTTGTTGAGGACTAATATTAATATGATTAATTGCAAAAATGAAGAGTGTATTTGAATTCAATTGGAACAAATTATGAAATAAAATACATGTATGGCCAATTATTTTTCCTGGAACGCAAGTAAAAAAAATTAAAATTAATAAATAAACTATTTAAAGTAAATAAATCTGGACTGATAATAAGTACAAAAGGAAATATGAAATTTTCTTTTCCTCCAAAAGTTACATTTTATCACTAACATGGGTGCAAGTCTTCCGTCCCCAGGAGGGATTTCCGTCTTTCGAAAATGTTCACGGACGGAAATAAGACTGACTCGAAGACGGGAATCGGAATTATTTTTTTTCTGTCCTTAAAAATATTTTTTAGGTCCACGTTATTGGTCTACTTTCTTATGTCCTGTTGTTATTTTATCAAAAGACAGATGAATAGATATTTTTTGTACAGTATTTAAACTTGATGCATTATGGTAAAGCTTTCTTAGATAGTTTGCATATGTCGAAGGGGTATTGTGTATGTTAGGTATTTCAGTCTTGGCCTTTTTTCCAACTTGCAGTCATGCGAAGAACAAAATTTTTTGTTACTAACATAGTATCAGATTACTGCGATTATAATTGAGTACAGTCTACCATTCAGAGGAAGGTAGAATTAGTTCAACAACTTACTTCTACAAAGCACAGCTGGAAAATATGTTTTTTTCTGTTGCTTTTTTTATATTTTTATTTTAAACCAATTCATGTGTCAAAACGCTTCGAGGGATATGAGCCATAGGTTATGCATCCCGGTTCCATTACAATAAATAATACTACATAAAAAATTTTAAAAAACTAAACAGTAAAAATGTCTTCATTATAACTGGTAAAATTTTAAACTATATAAATCGAATAGGCTTTTATCTGTTTGGTCGAGAGTTAAAATAATTTTCCTTTAAAAATATGATTTGCAATTATTTATTTAAAGCTTTATACAACGAGAGTCAGTCAAGGAAATTGAAACTAAATTTCAAGAATTCTTAAGTACTTTTCAAAAGGATTATAAAAATTTTTAAAAAAAATTTTATTACTGGGAAAATAAACTTTTCGTTTTCCATTAAAATATGTACACTATACAGAGATAAAATATAAACAGTACAAGAGAGTTCATTAAAAAAATTAATAACGAATAAATATCGTCTTTACTCTCAAAAAACACAAGTTTTTAAATATTTTTTGATTGTTTGCTATCCTTCATTTCTAAAAAGTTATGTAAAAGGAGAAAGAGGTATAACAAGTGAACAGAAGACAGTATAATAATAGAATAATCGTTCTCTCTCAGTAACAAGAAGATTACAAAAAACCTAAGATTTCTTAGAAACCACGCAAACATTTGGGTATGATAAATTTTTCGTAACTTATGTTCGTTTAAAGAGCCGGATGATTTATTTTAGGTTATTTATTTCCTTTATAAATTTTCCATTTAATTATTCTTTTATTTTATTTCTGTATGGTGGAGAACCTATTTTAATTTGAAATTTTCTTTTTGCATTACAATGAACATGTTTGAAAAGTTTTTACTATTTCACAAAGTACTTAAAATTCTTGTTCATTTTTTGTTTATGTATAATTTTCGAAATAAATACGAGCAAAAATATCGTTCGATTTTTCTTGTTACAGTAGAAGTTTTGATTCTAGATTTACTTTTCTCAGTGATGGATACTATGCTAATGTTTTTAAATTATATCTGATTATGTAAATTACAAAAAAATTACATTATTTCACCAGCATTTGATACTAATTCAACCAAATACAAATATATATTGTTCCCAAATAAAAAATAATATGAATAGGTGATTTTTTTTACAGCCTTTTTAATGTTAAATGTTTTCTTTTTAAATCTAAACTTTGGTCAAAGTTTATAAAAATATTTTTTAATTACACATCAACATACAAGTCGTTCTACCAAATACTAATAACTAACATTAACAAAATTCTACTTATAAGAGTTCTAGAATATAGCACCTACTTTTATATTTTATGCTGTTGTTTTGAACCGAAAATTATTTCCTTAAAGTTTTTGAACTATCACTGACAGACTTCTTAAAACAAATTATCTGTCTTTGTCGCATCTTTTTTAACATTTCTAGTTTATTGAACATTTATAAAACTTTAATAGAAAATTAAATAATAACTCATAAACAAGGTTTTTAACACAAACATGAGCATAAACAAAGGCTATCCATTTAATTCCCTGTTTTAGAAAACATTATCCATACAAAAATAAAGAAATGTTTCTTACAGAAAAATTTCAATTAGCTCAAAATTATTTCTCAAAGTAATCGTTTATATGAAATTGTCTGGAAATAATGTCAAAACAAAAGTTTACTGTAAAGTTCATTATAATGAGGTTTGACTGTATATTCATATAAATAAAAAAATAATTATTTTTCCCCCACTGCCAATCATGTTTTATAACATTTTAAGTTGTATTCTTGACCAAGTATAGGTAGCTTATTTTTTATGTTTGTTGTTGTGATAAAAAGGAGGTAAACCCTTCAAATTTTTGTTTTTACCATATATGTTGTCTCTTTTCAATTATAGAGTATTTTGATATAATTGTTTTATTTGTGAATGACGCTGATCTATTGATCTGTGAAATTTTATTCTGATTATACATTTTTTTCTAGATATGCTATGCAAAGTTATGTAATTTGTGTCAAGGCATTCCATACATTTGTATGCAGATGCCAGGCTGTGTTAACTTCGTTGATTTGTATAATAATAATTAATCTGTAAATTCTTGTAATAAAGGCAGTAATGTGTTTGTGACAATTGCATCTCTGTCTTTTTTTATTGTACTTTTTTCTAAGCAGAAGTTTATATTCAATTTTTTTTTTAAAAAGTTGAATTTGAAGTTTTATATAATAACTGGCGTTGAACATAATTCTGGGCTTACGACGATCATTGTAATTTTTAGCCCAACCCAGAAGACCAGGGAACTCCCAGATCAAGCATTTTATTTTATAACCGTCGTTGAACAGCCGACCCAATTTTTGGGTTTATGACTACTAATGTTCAACTGTGTAGCCTTGTAACGTTGAACCCAATCTGGAAGACAAGAAAACTCCTGGATCTAGTATTGGGAGAAATTTTGCCTTCGTGGAGGACTTNATATATATATATATAATTTTAATTCTATAGTTGAAGCTAATATTAAGAAATTTTCAGCTTCTTGATAAAAATATTTATACCAGTTATTAATTTTTAGTACAGACCTAATTTCTACTACTAATACTTGTAATTAATAATATATATTTACCAATTAGTAGTATTTCATTAAAAACAAAATACAGCTGTCTGCCACAATATGTTAATAATATAAACATTTATATTTGTTTCTGAAGTTTTTTATTTACTTATTTTTTCAAGGAAAAAGCTAAGAGTATGTAACAGATGGAATTATCCATTTTGTTGAAAAAAATATTTACTACCAATTTTTTTTCTTTCAGATCGGTGTTTTTTTTTTATTATAAACCACATTCTGAAGCCTTGACCGGGCATTGATAGCGTAATTGCCAATTTTAGACTTTAAAAATAGAATTATTTGTTATGGTAGCGATTTGACAATTAATATGACAGTGTTAGCAATTATTCTCAATCCCAGCAATTGAGCTCAATTGTAAGCAGGAACAATTTTAACAATTCAAACAATTAATATCCTTAAAGAACATTTATTCTACTTGTATACATTTATTTAAATTATATTTAAGTAATTGTTTTCAAAAGCATTAAAAATGAAAACTTTATTAAAAAAAGTAAAGAAAATTGCCTCATACATTTAAAGAATATCTCCTGCTAAAATCAGGAGTTTCGGCAATGTTGTTACATCTTGTTTTTCTCCATCATAATAAAACAAAAATGTATGTAGGATTACTCCTATTACTCAAACTTAAATAAAAAATATTATTTGCCGAAAATTATTTTTCATTCTGTGTCAGCTAAAACAATAGATTATTGTTAATTGCGGAACTTTGAACGATTAGTAAAACAATTCAACACAATAATTACAGATAAAACTTCATAAGCTTTACATTAAAAATATATCA